TTTAAAATAATTATGAACAAAAAATACTAGTATTATTGTGATAAAAGCGTGGGTGCTTTGTGCCATATTTTTCGTATATTGAGCGCCCGACGCTTTTATCACAATAATACTAGTATTTTTTGTTCATAATTATTTTAAAAATTATTTTTAACTTTTTAGTTCGATGTGCTTAAAAGCGTGTTTTATTAGTTTTTTTAAACTATATTTATTATATATATCTTAAATTAAAGCTAATGTAATGTACTTTATTATGCAAAAAAAAAAATTTCGGACTTTATTTTGTCTTCACGGTGAAAATGGCTACCGAATGCTATTTTTGTGTGAAAATTCTCGATTTCATATTTTACATTTTTAACTTTATAATATTATAACTTTTTGAAAAGTGTATGGATCAACACAATTTTTTTATGAGAAATAATATTTTTTAATAATCCCTTTTTCATTCGACATACTTTATCTTATTCAGGATATTAATAAGGAACTAGCAGATCATGTAGCTTTTGAAATAATCCACCAATTTTTTAAAATTAAACACTATCTTAAGATTTGCATCGAAGCGTTTTCTTTTATAGTGATTTTAATCACTGTCAGATATCATTATACTTGATCCAACTATGCCACGTTACCACTGTGCCGCGACATCCCTGTGCTGGATTTTTTATTATAAAAAAGATATAAGTTTTTAAGATTAGTGAAGAATTTTTTTTTACTTATAATATACATGAATATCAGCCAAACTGCACAAAAAAATTTTTTAAAAAATGTTAAGCTTACTTGAGACCTACTAAAAATATACCATATAATATAACGTTTATTATGATATCCACGCTATCAATTTTTGACTTGAAATTTTGAAACTAAGCAATTTGTATTCTACAGTAAAAATCAAACTATTTTGATATAATAATCATAATATTTGACTAAAAATTAAATAATAGAGGCCATTTTTTGTTTTTTGGGGTATTTTTGGTCAAAACACTAAAAACACATTGAGCCACCAGTAAACATTTTTTTAAAAATCTCAAATTTTCACAAAATGCCTATTTTGATGTATACAATAAATTTAAAATGGTTCTCATTAAAATTTCGAAGATCGACTTTTTTTGATCCATCCTAATGTTCATTCATGAATGTAATATAGAAATATTGCGTTTTTATTGTTACACTGATATTCTGGGATTAATACTTTTACTGAAGTTACTATGATTTAATGTACTGTGAGCCCTGTTTCAAATTGGCATAATTCATTACACTCGCCGTAGAAGATTGTTGTATCTTGAATATCTAGAGTTCCTTTATCGTTCCATCATTTTTCTTATATCCACCACTCCTAACCCAAATCTCTTTATTATTTCAACTGAGCATTGTACTACTCCAGGTTTAAAAAGTGTTTGAATGTTTTATACTCCAAAGGATAAACCATTTTTCATTTCTCAGTCTTGTTTCCCTAAGATCCACGATTTCGAGGCAAGTTTATTGTTTGTACCTGAACAATATTGTTTTCTAAGGTAGAGTTGTTAGCTCTGCGCTAAGCCCCTAAACTGAAATACCGGACTACTTTATCCAATTAAGGCCATAGTAGGGAGAACTGGACTAACTAATTAATCACTTCAGTTCACCATACTCTTTTAAAATAAAATATTTAGGTGTATTTTTTTATTATACTTCAATAACAAACCTAATATTTTATCAGTTGAATGACTCTGAAAAAAGTTTCACTCCATCCACACGTAATAGTTACACGCATGAGTTTATTGAATATGTGCATATGTCCCTTATAAAATATTTATTATAATATTACAGAGATTAATATGTTTTCCTAATGTACATAAAAAGTAGATAATTACTTTTTATCTACTTTTTTGAAGACTTTATGTATAAGTTATTAAGTTTAATTTACGACACTGATTATATTATTATATCTATAGATAATTTAATTTTAACTTACCAATAACTTTTAAGTTCAAATTACAGGTAGCTGAACCTGCTGAATTGGATGCAATTATTGTGTATATGCCACTATCTGACCTGTCCACTGAATATATAGCTATTGTTGTTGACCAATTATCTTGATCATCATATACACTAACGTGTTTACTAACTTCAAGAGGTTGGCCATTTTTATGCCAAATGATATTAGGTTTTGGATACCCATTATATTTTGCAATAACTTTCCACTGACTTAGAACTCTTATGATTTGCGAGGTTTCTGATTCAGCTACTTCGATTTTTGGTACATCTTGTACAATTAATTTACATGATGTTTCTACAGTGCCAGCACTATTTATTGCTTGACATGTATATGTACCCACAGACGATTCAGAGCATTCACTAATTATTAACTTAACTACATGGTTATCAAATGTAGAAGTCTTAGATTTATATATAGTGCCATTTTTAAGCCTGGAAATGAAAATTATTTTTAGTCAATAGTTTATAAAATCAATATTATTTGATTTGCTGTGAATCATCACAGAAATTCAAAAATGTATGTTTAATCAGGATTATGTTATGAATCAAAAAATGGAGGTAGACCTGTTACGCTGTAAATAGAGTGATTCTTATATCATAAATTATTAACAATTTAAAGTAATGATTGGAGATGAGGCACGGGTGTAACAATTTTTATTAGTAGACATTTGTCAAAATCACTTATTTTGTAATATTGGTCAAAAGTTGTTATCAACCATTATTTTTTTTAATTAGATAATAATTATAAAATAAGCTAGTAAATTATGTATGTTGCCATTTGAAAAAATAAAGTTGATATCCTTATAAGATATAAGGAACAAACATAAAAGATATTTCATGATTGATAAGCATTAAATAAGAAATATTTAATATATTTCATTTATTTTTTAACTATTATGTGGTTTATGGACACATGCATTTTACATTCTTTAAAATTAATAAGCGTGTAAAAAAATATATATATTGCAAAATAATTAGGGATACAAATATAAATACTTCAAAAAACAAATGAAATATCTTATAATATAAATTTTACCATTTAATTTCAGGGGTAGGTTGACCAGATATCACACATTGAATTGTAGCAGTTTTTCCTAGACTGACAGATAAATCTGAGAGAGGTTCTTGAACAATGGGTGGATAAAATGAACCTATACTAATAATTTTCACGTATTTAGTGTTATGAGAAGAAGGTCCAACACCAGCACAATTTTTAGCTGCTACTTTGAACATAATTTCATGTCCACTTGGTAGATTAGAAATTTGGTGTGTGGTATCAGTTACTTGTATTTTATGCCACCTATTTCAAAAAAATTATGACAAAAATATAATTTCAATTAAATTATAAAAAATTGCAAAGTTATATGTTTATCACCTAATTAAACAAAGGTAACTTGTTATTTTTTGTTACATAATGCCATTAAATAAAAAAAAAAATAAAAGTGAATGAACTTTTTAACCATTTTATAATTTTTTCTTGAAAATTACCATGTTATTTTTGTTAATAGTAATATTTTAATTTAGGTCATTTTTTTCTAGGATATATTGATAATGGATTAGTGAATTTAAATATTATATTAATTAAAGTTTCTATAAAAATTTCCAAAACAATTATAAATCCTTTATTTATATTTTATAGAGAGAAGAATCATATAAAACAGTAAAAAAGTTCTTTGGAGTACATACAATCAATTGTGGAGCAATATAAAATAAAAAAGGAGAAATTATTTATGAGCAAGAACAGGTTGTAGATAGATGGAAGGAATACATTGAAGCATATGATGAAGAACTAGTTGTTACAGATTTAGAAAAAATAAATGATATGGAGCAAGATGAAGAGTGTGTAGAATTTCCGATATTAAGAGAAGAATTTGATAAAGCATTAAAAGATTTAAAACCAAAGAAAGCGGCAAGAATAGATGAGGTCCGAGTCGAGCTTTAGAAGAAAGTAGGAGAAAATATGGTGAATGAATTATTTAAACTCATTAGAGATATTTATAAAACGGCGGATATAAACCTACCGATTATGTAAAGAGTATATTTATTACCATTCTAAAGATGACATTAGCTAAAAAGTATGAACAGTATCGAACAATTAGCTTGCTCTACCAAGCCAGATTTTAACAAAAATTATGTATAAGAGAATGGAAAAGAAGATAGAAGAAATATATTATCAGAGGGCCAATTAGGATTTAGTAAAAATATGGGTACAAGAGAAGCAATATTAGTTTTATTAATAGTGGAAAAAAAATACGAAAATATAAGTCGACGTTTATTGCCTTTGTTGACATTGAGAATGAATTCGATAATTTTAGCTGGGAAATAATGTTAAAAATTATGAAAAGAGCTGAAGTTGCAACTACGGAAAGAAAACTGATACATCAATTGTATAAAAATGAAATAGCAATCATAAAAATGGGAGATATTTATAAAGAGTTCAAAATAAAAAAATATGTTAGACAGGGATGTACATTATTACCTTTAATATATAATGCATACATTCAAGAGGCCATAGATATTATAAGAGAGAGAACACAACTAGGAATAAAGGTAAATGGTTACAGAATAGACATGCTGAGATGCGCGGACGAAAAGATCTAAAAAAGATTATAGGAATATTGAAACATGTGATGGAAAAAGATTTACATATGAAAATAAACGTAAAGAAGACGAAGTCCTAATAAAAAAAATTGAAGGACGATAAAACTGTAGAACAAGTAGAAGATTTCATATATTTGGGTAGCACTATAAGCTTTGATGAGAGATGCAAAAAGGAAATTATACAGAGAATATCCCTAGCTAAGGTGACATTTAATAAGAAAAGAAGTCTTTTTTACTTCAAAAAACATTGACTTGTTATTAGATAGAATCTACTAAAAACGTACATCTGGAGCATCATGTTATATGGATGCGAAACATGGACTATTACAAGAGAAGAAATGAGAAGAATAGAGGCATTCGAAATGTGGTGTTACAGGAGGATGGAAAAGATAAGTTTATAGACGCAGGGAAACAATGCAATGGACGCAGGCAATTATGCTGATAAATTGCGTAAATTTGGAGTGTTTCTATTGGTTGAAATATACGTGGTATTTTTAATTTTTAAATAATTATTAAATTAATGTATGATGTACATTATTAAGGCGTCTGGGTACCGACCGCTTTTTAGTCAAAAACAACCCATTTTTGTTCCATCAGTATTAAGTTAAAAATGTAAAAAATAAAATCGAGAATTTTCACACAAAAATAGCATTTGATAGCCATTTTCACCGTGAAGACAAAATAAAGTCCGAATTGTTTTTTTTTCATAATAAAGTACATTATATTAGCTTTAATGTATGATATATATAAAAGTGTCCGACTTTCCGGAACACTTTCAAAAGTTATTTTTTTGTGAATAAGTTGTCATTTTAAATCTTCCCCTGTGGGCAGGTAAAGCGTTAAATTTATTAAAAAAAAATATACTAAATGATAGTTAAGGACATTAAGCATCTATTTACAGCAAAAAAATTAGCGATTTTTTAAATTTGTAATTTTTTTAGAGGTTTCCTCCATTTATGGAGAACGAGGGAAATTTTTTGAGAGTAATGTCTTCGACTAGATATGATTTGTGATCTTTTGACGTATCGTTGAAAGAAATCAGTTCGATGAGAGCTGAAAAAAAGTGAAACAGACACAAAAAAAAAAAACACATCATAGTATAACCAATACCTTCTCAGCTTCGTATCGAATCTAAAAGTAAAAGTACCGGTGTACCGAGTACTTTGGAATCGTTACTTTTAAGTAATTGTACCGAAAGGAACAAAAATTCCCACTACTGATGTATATATATATAAATATAACATCTTTTTTACTAACAATTGTTATCATGAGAATAGTAATAGGTAATATGGTACCAAAGTTATGAATAATAATAAATTGCTATGACTTAAATTAACTTTTAATCTTTTTAATAAAATTTTATTTCAAGTAACATAGAAGTACTCACATCATAAACTCTTCTTTATCATGATACTCAATAATATAATTTTCAATTTGTGAATTACCATCATACTTTGGTGGTTTCCAATGTAATGTTACCGAGGTATCTGTAGTCTCGATAACTTCTGGTACTTCAGGTTCTCCAGGAACTTCTACAATGTTGTAATAAATTTAAATATAATAATTAAAAGTCATTATTCAAAGTCATAAATGTATTTATGGTTATGTATAGTTTTAAACAACTCATAAATTTAAATAAAACTGTACATCAAAATAACTTTCTAAAATTAATAAAAACAGCATTTACCAATTAATATGATTCTTAAAGTTTCCATGACTTCACCATAGTTATTTTTTAATTTTACAGTTAAAATGCCAGTATCAGATGAAATTATGTTTTTAATGGTAAGATTAGCTGATGATTCAAATAACGAATAAGATACCTAAAAATATTTGAATTTAAATTAATAAATAAGTTATTAATATTAATCAACAGGAAAAATATTTTTACATACTCGATCTGATTTTTTTATCAATGATCCGTTAATGAGCCATTCTACTGATACTGGTGTTAATGAAGTAAAAGTTAAAGTAACATTTAATTCATCATTCTTCTTCAATCTGTATTCTTTTTCAATTCTAATAATTTTAGGTGGATCTTCTTTAACTGAAATATTTTAGATAAATAATTAAGGATTATTAAACTATGTTATTTTTATTTATAAATAAGTTTTAAATATCTTGAAATTACCTTCAACTTTTAACTTTGTAGATGTTTTAACATTTGTAGCAGTACATGAATATTCAGACTCATCTTCACGTAAAACATTTTTTATAATAAGAGTATGAGTCTTTCCTTCAGATATAATGTTATATTTTTTGGACTCCTTGATTAATTTTCCTGATCTATATTAAATATTAATATAAAAATTACTTTTTTGTAGAAAATAAAATTTTTCTACAATATACCTGAACCATTTAACTGGAATATTTATCTGGGAAACTTCTACAAGTAATTTGACATTTGTATCATTAATTGCAAGTGTTACTTCAGGTAATTTTTTAGTAAATTTAGCTTTTGGTTCTAAAAAATAAATATATTTTTTAATAAATTAGTTATCTAGTTTTATTTTTATTAAAAATTAAAATAATGTTTAGAAGTATAATCAATTTGTTTTAAAAATATGTCTAAAATTATAAAAGTTATTTTAAAAAAAAGGTAAATTATTTGCTGGTTTAAAAGTTATTAAAGATGTCAGAACATAATACATAGAATCATTATATCACTATTAAAATTAGTTAATACATTTATTTTTAATAACTTCCATTAATCATAAAAGCTAAATAGATTATTTTTTAAAGTGATTTATAAAATGTTTTCACTTATAATTTAATAATAAACTATTAATATTCTGATTATTTTGATATAGAAAAATGAAATTTTTTAGTTAAAATTAACCTTCAATAGTAAGAGTAGCTTTGCATTCTTGCTCATGGACTTGACAACTATAAACACCAGAATCATTTTTTGATGCTTTTACAATTTCGAGTTTTTGACGTTTTCCATCAATAGTCAATCTCACATTATTGCTAAGTTGTAATTCTTTACCGTCTTTCATCCATTTTACCAAAGCGTCTCCTTTCGTTAGTTCAATATCAAACAACACTTGTTCTCCAAAAGCAACTTTTTGATCTTTTAATTTAGTTATTATTTGTGGTGCTAATTCTAATTTAAAATAAAGTTGATTAGTAAAAGTAAATATCATATTTTGTACATTTTAATTACCTATGACATTTACTTCTGCAGTACATTCTTGATCTCCTAAAGAACAAGTATATTCACCATCATCATGCACAGAGATGCTTCGTATAATAAGCTTTCGTATTTGACCATCTTTTTCAATAAATATCTTATTTTTCAAGCCATCAGTAAGCATTTCTCCATCCTATAAATTTACTTAATTTTTAAGTAAAAATATTATTAAGTAAATTATAAAATAATTAATACATTTACCTTATGCCAGGTAACATCAACTGTTTCTGATGTTACTTCCACTTCCATTATAGCACAATCATTTTCTTTTACTTCAATATCTTCTAGTTTCTTTATAAATTCAGCTTTTATATCATGAACAACTACTGTACAGGATGTAGTATGGTTTTTGACAATACACGAATACTTTCCGATATCCAGAACATTTGATTTCTTAATAATCAAACGATGAACTCGTCCATCTTGATGAAGTTCTCTGTGATCCATTCCAGTAAGTTCTTTGTCATTAAACAACCATTTGGTAGTTACTGTATGGGACGTTTCACATTCTAAATATATTGGCTGTTTCTCATCAACTTCTATTATATCTTTGAGAGGTCGAGTGAAAGTTCTACAAGCAGCAACATTAAATTAATTAATGTATTTTTTGTTTAAAAAAATTATTCAGGAACAAGGAAAAGTTATTTTAAAATTAAGATTAATATAGCAAAAAATGATAAAAAAATAATATAGTTAGAAAATAGTTTATTTAATAGTTATAGTAATACCCAATTTAATAATAAAAAAAAAAAACCAATAATATTACAATTAAATCGTCATAGTAATTAGTTAGATTTAAGACACTATATATACAGAGTGATTTTTTTATCATAACCCACTCAATTACTTACAGAATAAATACATTTAAACATTTTTTTTTTTTTAGTTATCGTTAGTTACACATTATTCTTGAATTATTAACTATGTAATCATTTTTAAGTTCATCCCTTATACCCTTATGTAAGGGGGTCAACTTTGTTTTTTTAAATGGTAACACATATTTTTAATTTAATAAAATATTTGAGTTTTTAATTTAATAGTAAATGGCATTTGAATTTTTAATATAACTTTATTCGTTTATTAGATATAAATATTTAAAGTTTCAAATTTTTGAGTTAATATATATGTATAATACACAAGGTATTACAAATACAGGTAGCTAAATGGTTTTTTATTCAATATTCGCAGGTACACAGCATTGTTATTATCAATGGTAGTAAGACACATTGTTGTGAGTTCATAAATACACTAACTGACTATATAAAAAGTATATCAATTGATAGTCATAATTGATCATAAACAATCCATGACTGTGACAGCGATGTCATAAAAACCATTTAGCTACCTGTATTTGTAATACCTTGTGTATTATCTATGAATATTAACTCAAAAATTTGAAACTTTAAATGTTTATATCAAATAAACAAATTAAGTTATATTAAAAATTCAAATGCTATTTACTATTAAATTAAAAACTCAATCATTATATTAAATTCAAAATATATGTTCCCGTTTAAAAAAACAAAGTTAACACTCTTACAAGGCATAAGGGATGAACTTAAAAATGATTACACAGTTAATAATTCAAGAATAATGTGTAACTGAAGATAACTAAAAAAAAAAATGTTTGGATATATTTATTCAGTAAGTAATTGAGTGGGTTATGATAAAAAAATCACTCTGTATATATTTAATTATATGATTATAAATTTTTATTAAAAATTCCAATATTTTTTGAAATTTGGTAGTTTTAAAAGATGGGTAATTTTTGACACTTAAAAATTTTTAAATAAAGATTTATGATACCAATCATAAGCAAATAATTATTTAAAATTAATATTTATATTATTTTAATAATATTAGCTATGGATTATCTATAATTTTTATTCTTAACTCAATTAATAATTTACTTACACCAACGGAACATCTACTGAAACTCTTGCACCATGTGTGGTAATTCCCAGCGTATTAGATGCAACACATTTGTAGTCACCTGCATCGTCTTCACTATCCGCATTCAATATTTCCAAAACAATGTTTTCACCATCAAATACTTCTTTTTTTTTAGGTGAAGCTAATAATGGTTTGTTGTTTCTAAACCATAAAACAGTTGGAACTGGATTACCAGTAACCCTTGCAATCAAAGTTATAGTTCCATTTTCTTTTACAGTTTGCTCTTGGAATCTTTCAACAAATAAAGGTGCTTGTGGACCAGGAAGTACTGCAAAAAAGTTGATTGAAATGGAAATCAAATAAACTTAAGATTGAATTTTTTTAAACATACAGGGTTATTTGTTTTTCATGATTCACTTAATTAATTGCAAAATAAATACAATAGTTACATATATTTCTAATTTATCAGTTATTAATTACTTTTTAGCATCATCCCTTACAACTTATAAAAAATAGCTTAATTTTTTAAATGGCAATATTAACATATTTAACTAACTTATAAAATAGGAAAGTATCTAATTAAGAAAATAATGGGTCAATAACAACTTATAGACCAGTATTTCAGAAGTAATAACTGTATTATATTCCATTTTATTAAACTTTAACCGTACACCACATAAGATGTGGAATATAAAGAGGCACGGTTATAAATATTTCTATCACTAAACATTTCTCAACCAAACTCTTTCTCTTCCACAAGCATAAAAGCGCTTATAGTTTCCTTTTTTTTGGTCTACTCAACCTAATCTTCCTTCAAAATTCATTTCTACAACGTTTCTTAAGGCTTCCGATTTTTCTCTTCTCATAATATGACCAAACCATCTAAGTCTATTTTCTCTCATCTTATCCACGATTGACACTACACCTATACTCCCTCTTATATACTCGTTCCTTATCCTATTTGCTTTAGTCACTCCACTCATCCATCTAAGCATTCTCATCTCTGCTCTACTTTCTTATCATCCGCCCAACACTTTGAACCATACATCATAGCTAGTCTCACTACAGTCTTGTAGAATTTACCTTTCAGCCTCATTGGAATTCTTTTATCGCATAATACACCAGACACTTCTCTCCACTTCAACCACCCGCACTTAATCCTGTGTCTTACATCCTCGTCTATGCCACCACTCTTTTGCACAACTGATCCTAAATACTTAAAACTCTTTACCTCTTCAATCACGTCCTCGCCTATTGTCACTGACCTCCTCATTTCACCTACCTCGTGTTCTCCTTTGTCAAATTCGTACTCTGTATACTCTGTCTTAGTTCTACTTCTTAAACCCTTTTTTTTTCAAGAGCTGATCTCCACACCTCTAGCCTTTGATTAATTTCCACCCTATTTTCTCCTATTAACACTATATCGTCAGCAAACAACATGCACCACGGCACCTCTCCTTGTATATCTCTAGTAATTTCATCCATCACTATAAAGAATAAGTAAGGGCTTATAGCAGAACCTTGGTGCAATCCTACTCTTACCCGAAAACATTCTATTACTTTTATTACTATTACTATTACTATTACACTTTTTACCCTGGTACAAGTGCAATCATACACATCTTCTATTATATTAATGTACCTTTTCGGAACTTCTTTTCTCATTAATGCTTTAAAACCTCTCTCGGTACCCTATCATACGCTTTCTCCAAATCTATAAATACCATACACAGCTTTTTCTTCTTTTCTCTAAAACTTTCTGTTAGTTGCCTCACACAAAATGTTGGCTCCATTGTTGACTTATCAGGCATAAATCCAAACTGGTTTTTATATACCGATGTCTCATTTCTTATTCTCTTATCTATTATCTTTTTCCAAATTTTCATACTATGACTCATAAGCTTTATGCCTCTATAATTTCCACACTCCTGTATGTCACCTTTACCTTTAAATATTGGCACCATAATACTACTATTCCTCCATTCATTTGAAATTTTCCCTTCTAATAAGATTTTATTTAAAAATTCCTTCAACCACCTTATGCCAACACCGCCTAATATTTTCCATACTTCTACTGTCACTTCATATGGTCCTACTGTTTTATTCTTTTTCATTGATGCCACAGCCTACCATACCTCTTTCTAACTAATTAAATCTACCAGTCCCTCATTCCACGAGATATCCTCTAATGTCTCTTTTAGGTACTCCTCATTCAATAATTTTTCAAAATACTCTTTCCACTTTTTTTCACATAGTCATCACTCGAGAGTACCTTATTATCAACACTTTTTATACACCCTATATAATGATAATCTTTAGACCTTTTCTCTCTTATCTTTGCAAGTCTATAAATTTCTTTCTCGCCTTCCTTTGTTCCTAGCCTATCATAAAACTCATCATACCTTTTAAACCTCGCCTTACTTAGAAGAGTGCAGCTAAGAAATATCTATTGATAGAAATATACACTTTAAAATCGCCTACAAAATAAAAAATGTGAACAGTATCTTTATTCAATATAGTAGTTATTTTGCTAGTAATTGAGACAGTTATGATAAACTAATCATTCTGTTTATATTTTTTATTGTACCTTCTACAATAAGAGAACACGTTGTTTGCACAGTACCCAATTCATTAGAAGCAATGACAGTATATCTAGCAGAGTCACAAGATGTCGGTTTATTTATTTGTAAAGTATGAACACCATCTTTAGAGACAATTGTTTTAATGTTAGATATTTTTTTATTATTTTTTTGCCATTCAATCATAGGCTGAGGTTCTCCACTGATTTGAGTACTTAATATTGCAGTTTCCCCTTCATTAATTGTAATATCATACAATGGTTCTAGTATTTGAGGTTTTTCAGGATGGCCAGTTTTTACTTTTAACACTAAATCCATTTTTGCTTCTCCTTCTCTATTTTTAGCTACTACCGAATAAATACCTTCCTGTTGTTTCTTAACATCTGTTATTTTTACTGAGCTAACATAAAAGTGCATGTCAGAATAAGTTTCGACTTTGACTGAACCCATACTAAATATCTCTTTGCCATTGTAATGCCAAAATATATCAGGTTCAGGAACTGCAACTAATCGACATTCCAAAAGCACATCTGAATATTCAACTACACATGTAGCTTTCGGTTTTCGCGAAAACGTTGGCGGGATACCTTCAAGTATATCAGCTAGAGAAGACTCCCTGAAAACAAACAATTTTTTTAACTCATTAAATATAAATATACAAAGCAATTAGTTTATCACGACCCACTTAATTAATCAAAAAACAAAAATAATAATAATAATTTTTTTATTGGTTTCTTTTAGTTCAATGTTTTTCTCAATTTATCAATCATGAAATATTTTTTTTGTTCATCTCTTATATCTTATAGGGGTGTCAATTTCAATGTTTTATGGAAACATATTTAATTAATTAGCTTATTTAATAGATAATGATCCACTTAAAAAAATTACTGGTCGATAACAACTTTCGGAGCAGTATTTTGGAAGTTATTATAATAATGATTGGAGATGAAAAATAGGTTATGTTATTTATATTATTACTCATTACTCTGTCACAAAGCTTAAGTTGAAAAGTTAAGTTTTTGTGCAAAAGTTGCTACTTTGAATACCTTTTGTGGGCAATTAAAGAGTTAGATTTTTAAATAATGTACACCAAGTGAAAAGGAAATACCTAAGGTAATTATGTAAAAACAATTTTTTTGATTCGTTTATTTTTAATGAAGTTTAAAAATGTCGAAATTTATCATTATTAAAAATCGTAATTTTTTATGGATTTCCTCCATTTACAGGAAACAGGAAAAATTTATCAATTATTAAGTGCAATGTCTTTAACCTTATACGATTTGTAATTTTTTGATATTTCGTTGAAAGAATCAGTCTGGTGAGAATTGAAAAAAAGTGGCGACAGACGTAATAATAAAAAACATATGTAAAATAATACTTTCTTAGCTTCGCATCGAAGCTAAAAATTTCTTCAAGTCTTTATATTGAAACGTTTATACTAGTTTCAAAAAATTAACTAATCAATACTCAATTAATTTTCAGTATCATTTAATAATCAATATAATTTTTTAGCCAATACAATCTTAATAAGTAAAATAAAGTGATACAGAACGTAGTATTATTCTCATACGTGTGTTAAGTCGTTTCAGTTTTCATCATCAGTTGCGTTTTTATAGATGTTATGGGTGGTGTCACACTCCTTTAACTTTTATAAAAATTATAAGTGGTCGGTTTTTTTTTATAATATGCAATACAGAGTTGGTATATTAAAAGGACAAGTTTTAAGATTTCCTTTATTTCTAAAAATAGTTTGTCAAATCGTTACATTTAAGCCTGCCTATGTTTTTCTTTCATTTATTAAAGAATTTTATTTTATCAGAATTTAAGTGGTTCAAAATAAGTAAACTATCAATATAGTATTTGTTTATTAATGTTTATTTATGATATTTATAGAACATTTAATTGTAACATATTATTTACCTAGACATGCTTTTTCTAGAAATTCCAGTTATATCAGACCCACGATCAGATAATGGTGCTTCAACTGTTAATTCAGTTGTACTAGAAGCAAATCCAGCTATATTTTTAGCAACACAAGTGAATGTCCCTGCATCCTCTGGAAAAACTTCTCTAATAATTAATGTCGCTACATTATCTTCGTCATAAAATATCTAAACAAAAGCAATTAATAGGTAAAAAAATCGTTATTTAACTATTAATAAAGTAAGAAGCGTTAAGTTTTTATAATGATATATTTTTATCATATAAACTATTTCATTATTAGCTTACGATTGGATTAATACTTGAAGATCTTTCTGATAAACATTACACAAAAAAAGAAAGAATTGTTTCAATATGACTTATATTAATTTACAACAATTTTTTTTTGGTAAAAACATACTTGAAAATCTTGAGAAGGTTTTATAATAGCCGTTTGTCTAAACCATGTAATTTGAGGCCTTGGAATTCCTTCTACATGACATTCAAATTGCACTGTACCACCGTCTGGTATATTTTTCGGTTGTAGTTTTTCGATAAAACGAGGAGCTGACGTTTTTTCATTTGATGAGGGTTCTAAATAAAAGTAATAAAATCAAATTTGGTAAAAAAAAATTCTAGAGAAAAAATAATATTTATATCTGAATAAAAGATACTTTGAAAAATAGGTAATTTATCAATCTTTTCATGTAATTTTTTTTGTACGTATTGAGTGTAACTAGTTTCATCTCTGAGATATATTGATGGAACCCAACCTTTTTCTTCAGTTAAATGTTTTTTTACAAGCCACCAGTCTTTATTTTTACTATCTATATCATACAATGTCATTAATTTAAATGATTTTTCACATAATAATTGTATCCTTAATTAAAAATTCAAATAATAAATACCTATTACGTGAACTTTTTCCCCTTCTACTAAATCTAAAGCATCGTCATTTTCAGCAATATAGAAACGTATTGCAAACATAATTTCACCATCACACATATCAGTATTAGTAAATTGATCCTCTGAAAAGAATACACAATCATTAGATAATAATGACGGTAATATATTCATGATTAGACAATAAAAGCGCAAAAAGCAAGAATTATTACAACTGCAAAAGCTAAAATGCTAATGCAATATTGTACCATTATATGATATATCAATTTCTTGAAGAATCTTCAGCTCAGCAGAATCTATGATAAAAAAAACCCATTATATTATTATAGTAAGATGTCAAATTATTAATATATACTTAAAAATTTTAAATTATATTAACCACGAGTGATCCATTTTTATTATATTATAAACTTACCCTGGAAAAATGGTTTGATAGATGGATTACGTTTTAATTTAACGTCTAATGATTCTTCTTCGTAAATTATGACATTGTCATCAACATTCTTTGAGTTCATTAAGTCAATATTAAAAAGTTCTTCAGAACCTTCAACAATATCATAACTTCCCCTTTTTTTGCCTCTAATATTAAACTCAATCAAATCCAAATCCTTACAATCAGATAATGTAACATCCAGACACTCAAAATGGTCAGAGGATGATGAAGTAACAGATAACTTCTTTTTAGGCAACTTAACATTGCCAGTCATAGAAATATTTTCCTCTTCGTATATATCAGATTTAATACTAAATTCTTGTTCAATATTTTCAATTTGTTTCGACGATTTCGGTATAAAGGTAACAGATACAATATCATCTTCGGGCACATGTGACAAAGTTCTTAATGAAGGACAAACTCTAGGTTTCAATTTTACATCTACTATTTCGGACGGTATTTCATCAATTGGTTTCTCGCTTTCAACCTCTTCGATAGTTACTGTGTCAGTTACAGATTCTTCTTTAATCGATGGTTTCCTTTTTGGTTTAACGGTTATATCGCTTATTTCTGTTACGTCTTCAACCGTATTTGGTTTTTCAATCTTTTTCTCTGTTATGACAACAGTATCATCGGTTTCTTCTACATCTGATGTTATTGACTTTTTCTTTTTTGGACGTTTTACGACCACTGTAGAGTCTTCTAGTTGCTTTTCGTCATTCTTCTTCAGCGAAGGTTTACGTTTAGGTTTCAATTTTACATCTACTATTTCGGACGGTATTTCATCAATTGGTTTCTCGCTTTCAACCTCTTCGATAGTTACTGTGTCAGTTACAGATTCTTCTTTAATCGATGGTTTCCGTTTAGGTTTCAATATTACATCTACTATTTCGGACGGTATTTCATCAATTGGTTTCTCGCTTTCAACCTCTTCGATAGTTACTGTGTCAGTTACAGATTTTTCTTTAATCGATGGTTTCCGTTTTGGTTTAAAGGTTATAACGCTTATTTCTGTTACGTCTTCAACCGTATTTGGTTTTTCAATCTTTTTCTCTGCTATGACAACAGTATCATCGGTTTCTTCTACATCTGATGTTATCGACTTTTTCTTTTTTGGACGTTTTACGACCACTGTAGAGTCTTCTAGTTGCTTTTCGTCATTCTTCTTCAGCGAAGGTTTACGTTTAGGTTTCAATATTACATCTACTATTTCGGACGGTATTTCATCAATTGGTTTCTCGCTTTCAACCTCTTCGATAGTTACTGTGTCAGTTACAGATTCTTCTTTAATCGATGGTTTCCGTTTTGGTTTAACGGTTATAACGCTTATTTCTGTTACGTCTTCAACCGTATTTGGTTTTTCAATCTTTTTCTCTGCTATGACAACAGTATCATCGGTTTCTTCTACATCTGATGTTATCGACTTTTTCTTTTTTGGACGTTTTACGACCACTGTAGAGTCTTCTAGTTGCTTTTCGTCATTCTTCTTCAGCGAAGGTTTACGTTTAGGTTTCAATATTACATCTACTATTTCGGACGGTATTTCATCAATTGGTTTCTCGCTTTCAACCTCTTCGATAGTTACTGTGTCAGTTACAGATTCTTCTTTAATCGATGGTTTCCGTTTTGGTTTAACGGTTATAACGCTTATTTCTGTTACGTCTTCAACCGTATTTGGTTTTTCAATCTTTTTCTCTGCTATGACAACAGTATCATCGGTTTCTTCTACATCTGATGTTATCGACTTTTTCTTTTTTGGACGTTTTACGACCACTGTAGAGTCTTCTAGTTGCTTTTCGTCATTCTTCTTCAGCGAAGGTTTACGTTTAGGTTTCAATATTACATCTACTATTTCGGACGGTATTTCATCAATTGGTTTCTCGCTTTCAACCTCTTCGATAGTTACTGTGTCAGTTACAGATTCTTCTTTAATCGATGGTTTCCGTTTTGGTTTAACGGTTATAACGCTTATTTCTGTTACGTCTTCAACCGTATTTGGTTTTTCAATCTTTTTCTCTGCTATGACAACAGTATCATCGGTTTCTTCTACATCTGATGTTATCGACTTTTTCTTTTTTGGACGTTTTACGACCACTGTAGAGTCTTCTAGTTGCTTTTCGTCATTCTTCTTCAGCGAAGGTTTACGTTTAGGTTTCAATATTACATCTACTATTTCGGACGGTATTTCATCAATTGGTTTCTCGCTTTCAACCTCTTCGATAGTTACTGTGTCAGTTACAGATTCTTCTTTAATCGATGGTTTCCGTTTAGGTTTCAATATTACATCTACTATTTCGGACGGTATTTCATCAATTGGTTTCTCAGTTTCAACCTCTTCGATAGTTACTGTGTCAGTTACAGATTCTTCTTTAATCGATGGTTTCCGTTTTGGTTTAACGGCTATAACGCTTATTTCTGTTACGTCTTCAACCGTATTTGGTTTTTCAATCTTTTTCTCTGTTATGACAACAGTATCATCAGTTACTTCTACATCTGATGTTATCGACTTTTTCTTTTTTGGACGTTTTACGACCACTGTAGAGTCTTCTAGTTGCTTTTCGTCATTCTTCTTCAGCGAAGGTTTACGTTTAGGTTTCAATTTTACATCTACTATTTCGGACGGTATTTCATCAATTGGTTTCTCGCTTTCAACCTCTTCGATAGTTACTGTGTCAGTTACAGATTCTTCTTTATTATTGTCATCAATAAAATGATCATTGTCTAAATGTATCAAAATTAATGTTTAACATTAAAAAAATTCATTAAAAAATTAAAAATAGAAGTTAAAGAATAAATATTATGATTACCAGAAATAATGTATAACAATTTGATTAGTAAAAATTAAATTGAAAAAATTAGGTCATATCATGCAATTATACTAAAGTCTAATACGAATAAAACGATATACTATTATAATATTAATAAAAGCATTGAATAGCATTACCTAGTGTATATAGTATTATATTATGTATAAATATAAATTCAGAGAATAACATTTTATGAAATTTAGATAAAAATGATTAATCATGAAGGTTGTAATTAATGAAGAATGCATAAAAAGAATTGCAAAATCATAACATTTTACTAAATATGATCAAAACATAAACGAACCTTAAAACCTTAAATTATAATAAATACCTTAAATCAAAATAAATTTCAACAAAAACAAGACACAACTAAAAATAAGATAGTTTAAAATTCCCAGCTGATGCATTACCTGATTTTATTAAGACCTCATATTGTGGTAAAACTATATCTTCTTGGGAATAATCCATTAGGTCAGATATCAAAGAAGACTGTACATTTACCGATTCCGTTTCATCGATATCTAATGTAGTATAAGTGGCTTTGTCTAATAGTTGTTCCAATGGATTACCTACGTTGCCTACTAATTCAGATATCTCAGGTTTAGTTTCTAGAACCTCTACTTCCTCTTTACCGTCTTTCACTCGTTTTATTGTTTTCTTTTTAGTTACCTTTTTCTTACCCCCTTCGATAACAGTGGTGGTTTGAATATCTACCGATTCTGTTTCATCGGGTACTAATGTAGCCTCTGTGGGTTTGTCTAATTGTGTAATATCGAGAGGCCCAACTTCTTCATCTACCAATTCAGATATTTCAGGTTTAGATTCTACAACCTCTACTTCCTCTTTACCGTCTTTCACTCGTTTTATTGTTTTCTTTTTAGTTACCTTTTTCTTACCCCCTTCGATTTCAGTGGTGGTTTGAATATCTACCGATTCTGTTTCATCGGGTACCAAAGTAGCCTCTGTGGGTTTGTCTAATGATATTGTTTCTAATGGGCCTACTTCTTCATCTACCAATTCAGATATTTCAGGTTTAGATTCTACAACCTCTACTTCCTCTTTACCGTCTTTCACTCGTTTTATTGTTTTCTTTTTAGTTACCTTTTTCTTACCCCCTTCGATAACAGTGGTGGTTTGAATATCTACCGATTCTGTTTCATCGGGTACTAATGTAGCCTCTGTGGGTTTGTCTAATTGTGTAATATCGAGAGGCCCAACTTCTTCATCTACCAATTCAGATATTTCAGGTTTAGATTCTACAACCTCTACTTCCTCTTTACCGTCTTTCACTCGTTTTATTGTTTTCTTTTTAGTTACCTTTTTCTTACCCCCTTCGATAACAGTGGTGGTTTGAATATCTACCGATTCTGTTTCATCGGGTACTAATGTAGCCTCTGTGGGTTTGTCTAATTGTGTAATATCGAGAGGCCCAACTTCTTCATCTACCAATTCAGATATTTCAGGTTTAGATTCTACAACCTCTACTTCCTCTTTACCGTCTTTCACTCGTTTTATTGTTTTCTTTTTAGTTACCTTTTTCTTACCCCCTTCGATAACAGTGGTGGTTTGAATATCTACCGATTCTGTTTCATCGGGTACTAATGTAGCCTCTGTGGGTTTGTCTAATTGTGTAATATCGAGAGGCCCAACTTCTTCATCTACCAATTCAGATATTTCAGGTTTAGATTCTACAACCTCTACTTCCTCTTTACCGTCTTTCACTCGTTTTATTGTTTTCTTTTTAGTTACCTTTTTCTTACCCCCTTCGATAACAGTGGTGGTTTGAATATCTACCGATTCTGTTTCATCGGGTACTAATGTAGCCTCTGTGGGTTTGTCTAATTGTGTAATATCGAGAGGCCCAACTTCTTCATCTACCAATTCAGATATTTCAGGTTTAGATTCTACAACCTCTACTTCCTCTTTACCGTCTTTCACTCGTTTTATTGTTTTCTTTTTAGTTACCTTTTTCTTACCCCCTTCGATAACAGTGGTGGTTTGAATATCTACCGATTCTGTTTCATCGGGTACCAATGTAGCCTCTGTGGGTTTGTCTAATGATATTGTTTCTAATGGGCCTACTTCTTCATCTACCAATTCAGATATTTCAGGTTTAGATTCTACAACCTCTACTTCCTCTTTACCGTCTTTCACTTGTTTTATTGTTTTCGTTTTGGTTACCTTTTTCTTACCCCCATTAATCATAGTGTTTGTTTTTTTCTCATTCGACTCAGAGTTAACTGCCCTCTTTTGTTTTTCTTTACTTAGGATTTGTGTGTTTTGTTTGTGTGCTGTGTGTTGATCTATTAGTACTTGTACAAGTGTTGGTGTTTGTGTCTGCTCATTTTGCTCTATCATATCTGTAATTTTTAAATTTCTTATGTGAATTTTATTTGTCCTTTTTATTTATTGTTACCGATTTAATATTCATTGCCAGGTTTTATTCATCGTTGTTTTAGGGTGTCGTCTATTTTATTTTATTTTTTGTTAGTAAGAAAAATCATAACATTGTATGTCTGTTTTCAATGTATTTTCTTATTTTTGTAATTATAAGTCTTTAATTTGGTTAATATCCAATAAGTGCGTTTTATTTTTATTTTGAAAATCATTATTTTCATTATTTCTGCTAAAATTTTTTGTGATTGTTGTTATATTATAAGTCATGTAATATGGATTACCTTGTTTATTATTTCAATGTTTATAGTTGAAGTATAGAGGTACTGCCCTACATATATTTATTGCAAATACGGTATAATTTATGAATTTAATTTACATGCTGGGTTAATATTTAATATTTATATGGATTTTATTTACTTGATTACAATTTAAGAATAAAATCCAATTTATGCTCCAAATTATAGTTCTAAAACTTCATTGCTATGGATCAAGCCATTTTTATCCAGGGTTAAAAATTGCATAAATTGTATATTTGATTAATTAAAAGTAGGCGTTATATTATATACAATATATTAATTTATAGCCATCTAATTTATCGAATAGTAAATATAATTTTTTTATTGTTTTTCTCATGATATATTTTAAATGTTCATCTTTTATACTTTATAAGAGTATCAACTTTAATGTTTTAAATAGCCAATAACACCAAATTAAATATTTTTATTTATAATGTTAACAACATTTGGACCAGTATTTTGGATATTTAAAGTATTGAATGGAGTTGATGAGTATGCGTTGCTATATTTATAACTTAACACTGCCTGGCACTACTATTCCTCTCATCTAGAATAAATATGTCAGTAACTTTCGAAATACTAATTGAAAAGTTGTTATAGACCAGTCATTTTCTTAATTATATCATTATCTAATAAATAAAAATAATTAATTAAGTGTTTTCCCATTTGAAAAAATTTAAGTTTTACTTATACTTTATAAGGGTGCCTTATAAAGAATAAGAATTGAACATGAAAATTTCTTAATTATTGATACATTGAGAAATGTATCAATAATAGTATATTTTTATTTTTCGACTATTCAAGTGACATGATAAGTGAATTACTCTGTACATGAGAAAGTTAATGTGATAGACTTTTCGACCAATTTTAATTCAGACCAAAAGGATCTTAATTCAAGTAAAAAAAAAATAATCATGATTAGTGTAGGAGGCAAGGACAGTAATATTTAAAAATAAAATGCCTCTATAATTTCAAATCTGATAAACTAAATTTCGTGAATATAAAAATTTTGTATGTTCATTTTCCAAAGTTAGAAATATATTAAATAAGTTACTGAATATTATTCAGTTAATAATATGATTTATAATATAATCATAAAATCATTATCAAAAAATTAAATGACAATTAAAATTTAAATAACAAACAACAAAAATTTTTTTTGTTGGATTATTTTTTTTAAGTATGATGTTTTTTAAAGTAACTAGATCAGCTCTAATACTGCTGACTAATAGTAAGTAAAAAATAATAACGATAGTATACATTAAAAAAAAAAAAGGAAAAATTTTCTACTAAGATCCTATTTATTTTATCCTTATTCTTCTAGGAATTAATTCAAATTATTACACAACCTAAATAATAGTAATAATATANAATAATTAAAATTATTTTGATTTGATATCTTACCATTATTATCACTGAAAGTACAAGTAATAATTAAAAAAAAAACAATAAAACCTATTAATTTGTGGATTTCCCGAATTTTCAGCATGAAAAAACCATAAAAATTAAAAATAAATAATACTATGATATTTCTTGCAAAATTCTAGTACAAATTGATATGTAACACTAAAATTTCGATTCATCCAATTTTAGGGGCGGAAATGAGGGGAAATGGCCAATTTTTTGGACAAAATCGAGTGACCCCTCAATTTGTACGAGAATTTTGCGGGAAATATCGTGGTATGATTTATTTTTATTTTTGGGGAAATCCCGGGGGGTTATTTCAAAACTTCCCCAATTTTGGGAAAAAAAAAAAAAAAAAACGAGGTCATTGTTTACACACTCCAAGGATACTCGCCTATATATTACTATGGTTCGAAAGATTTACACCCTGTAGACAATTTATTTTTTATCATACTTAGAACAAAATATTTTATATTTTGACTCTATTATTGTGAGTCAAATTTTGGAATTTAAAGCAATATGAAAAATTAAATTAAATTTTCTATATTTGTGTCATTTTATCCTCCCAATACACTTATGCGAATTATTAAATTATTGGATTTAATCTATAATTTATATAAAGACTTATAATTTCATAAATAATTTATGCGTTAATTTTATTGTTATACATTTATGACATAGTTTGTTTATCTTTGTTCGTACTATGTTAATTATACAACCTACAATAGCTAACTCAATACTCCCTAAAATGGGGTATTTAACCTTGTTAATATATAGCAATATATATATGTATTTTTTAAATTTAATTCACAAATTAATACTTATACTTAAATAAGATATTTTGTCTGTTAAACTATCAATATAAAATATGCACCACAAAAATTTCTTAGAAATTTTATTATTCTAAGAGAAATATAGGGTGTTTTCTTACCTGTTTCGGTATAAGAAACGGAAGCCCGCTTTTCTAATTTGTGTTCTGGTTTTATACCAATAACTGTATCGATAACACAATCTTCTTTAACATTTATCCATTGCAAATTAGCTGGTATACATAATTTGGCTTTTTCTTTCAGTGGAATTTTTAAGTTAAAAGTTATTGGTTGCATTTCTGAAAAGATTTCCTTTTGTTCAATAGATTGGAACTCTATTAAACTTTGATTTATATTTTGTTGGTTAGGATTTTTTTCTTGTATTATAGGATTTTCGTTTTCCGTTGCTATAAGTTCTTCAACCATCAGAGGTTTTAGTTCGTCGAACTTGACATCAATTTTTTTGTTTGTGGTTCTATCTAATTTTAGTTTTCCAACATTTATTAATAGTATTTCTTCAGATACTTGTAAATAATTTTTTTCATCGGTGAGTGATGAAGTGGCAGATTTTTTTCTTAATGGTTTACTAGCGAACATCTTTTCTCTATCTATACATGTTACTTCAATTACTTCAGCACTCTTATTTGGTGTTTCATACAATATTGATGCAATAGATGAATTAGGTTTAAAATCTTCATTGAAAGTATCTTCTTTTTCAGAAATAACTTGTTCACTAATTGTTACAACTTCCAAATTGTCCATTTGTACATTTGCTTTTAACAGTTGTTGATGTTTAATTAATAAATCATCTTCTTTCCATTCAGAATTAATACTAGAAATGATAATACTAGATTGTTCATCTCCAACTGTAACAAAAGCATTCTGATTTTCAGGAAGATATAATTTTAATTTTCCTAAATTTTCATTTATTTCTGTTTCTTCAAGTATTATAGCTTCATTGTTTTTTGTTTTTATACATGCTTTTGAAGTTTTAATTTTTGATTTTGATTCCATCTCCGATTCTTTTTCATTACTTTCTATATTGGTAACAAAAATACTAGAAGATGTGTCTTCAATTATTAATTTTGCTTGTTTTTCTTTTGGAAGTTTAATATCTTTTAAGATTCCTTCTTTTTCAGAAACAACTTGTTCAGTACTTATAATGTTTTCAAAATTATCTTTGATGATTCTCGCTTTTTGCTCTTTTTTGAATATTGGCTGAAATACGTTTTCTGATTCAATTACGTTTAATTCAGATTGAATAATACCTTCAAACATTAATTGTGTTTCGTTAGCGAGAACAGTTTCTATAGGGGATTCATAATGCATATTTGCTGTTTCAATTGCAGCTATAACTTCAGTTTTATCAGCAACTGGATATGAAATAATATTAGAAATATTTGCATTTTTGGTTATTTGGTTAGATGTTATTAATTTACTCTCCTTTTCATCAGCATTTATTTCTAAAATAGATATATTAACATTATCTACAAAATTAATTATTGCGTTTTGGTTGGATGGCTTTTCAAGTGTATCAAAATACAGTTCTTTTTCGATTGTTAAATTATCTGTAACTGAAATGACATTATGTAATGTTTGTACTTCAGAAGCTTGCTTATGAACAGGTTTATCTAGCTTAAATGATTGCTCTGATTCATTAATTAATGGTTGTAGAACATTAAGAGAATTATCTTCTTTCAATAGTACATTTGCTTTATATTCATCATATTTATAATTTTTATTAAACTCTACTTCATTTTCCAATATATTTACTTCAGTTGAAGTAATAATATCATTAGATTTCACGAGTGTCACGCTAGCATTTTCTACTTTCAAATTTGTTAATGGTACGTCGGTAACGTTTGTTGAAGAATATATTTCAGATGTTTGCGGAATTTCATATAAATCACTTATTGATGGCAAAGCTTGCTTTTTAATAAAAATATCATTTTCCGAAGAGAATACTTTACTTTCAGTATCAGGTAAGACTTCACTTATTATTAAACTATTGTTTAAAATCATAGTGAGATCAGCAGTTTTAGTGTTAGTTTTAACTAATGGTAGCTCTTTTTCGCTTTCATGAATAATTGTTTCTATTTGAGTGACAGTTGTATGAGGTTCTTGGTTTATTTTTACTGAAGCTCCTTCAGGATATTTTTCATTAAAATCTATAGGCTGAATGATTGTATAAATGCCTGTCGTTTCTGTTCCTTCATTCACTATAAACTCATTTTCAGCAGTTTGAGATTTAGGTTTTTTAGAAATAATCAATATACCTTCTTTATCATCCGTAATTACTTCGGTAACATTGATACTTTTTAATTTGGTAACATTTATATCAGCTGTGCATATTTTATCAAAATCATCTCTAGAATACAACTGTTTTTCTTTATCTGCAGCAGATACAACAGTTGTTTGAATGCTTTCAAAAGTATGTTGAATTTGATTAGCCAAACATTTATTTAATTTTGAACTTTGTAGATATCCTACAGCTGTATTTTGAACAATCTCCATTTTTTCTGCAACCTCTTGGTTAGAAGTTATATTAATAAAAGCATTCTTAGTGGAAGGTATTTTTATTATACTAAGATGTTCTTCAACTTCTTCGGGAACTACTTCACTGATTGTTTTTACCTCTTTATTTGTTTCTATATTTATTCCTGCAAGAGCTTTGTTTGGTTTAAATTTATCATAAAAAAATTCTTCTTGTTCTTGAAACATACTATCAATAACTATAACACCATGTGATAATTCTTTACTTGGTGTAGCCTTATAAGTATTGACAGTTAATGATTCTATTTTATTCGTATTTTCGTCAGTTGTAATCTCGTAAACATCACTTACTTTAATACAATCAACTATATTAACTGATGCATGTTTTTTATTTAGTTTTGTTGAAAACACTTGTAATAATTCTTTATCGCCTGTAATAATTTCGTATATATTTGGTACATCAATTGTATTAAGTTCGATATTTGCAAACTCTTCTTTTACTTTAGAGGGAAGGATTTTTAGTTTACATTCTTTTTCCAAAGGATTATTTTCGAATTGATTTAATGTGCAATGCGGAACAAAATATGATTTTACAATTTTTTTATTAGGTTTTTGATCAGGTAAAGGTGCTATTGCAATACATGTGTCATTTTCTTGTTTTTGAACAACTGATTTTACATCGTATATTAATTTTTCTTCCACTTGTTGAGGTACATTAATGACTGATTCTTTCAACAAACCTTCTTTTTCTTCCACGATTATTGATATTGTATTTAAACTTTCACACACTGGAAAAATTTGTGAAGCAATTTTTGGCGACGGCTTTACTTTACTTTGATAACTTGATTCACACTCAAGAGAATTAATTTCTGTAATAAAAATTTCATTCAGAGGCTTGACATTTTTAATAGCTTTTGAATGTTTTACTGGTGTTTCGATAAATAGAAGAGCGTCATAAGAAATTTCTATTTCTTCAGTAATAAATGTTTCTTGTTCATTGTATGATAAATCAGCTTTCTGCTCCTTAGACTTTTCTGCAATTAAAAATTCATTTTCATTTTCTTGACTAGTTACCTCTGTAACTTCGATGTTGAAGTCAGAAACAGCTTTTACATTACACGTTTTCAGGACATTTTTAGATGGTTTAAATGGTATTTCAGTTTCGTTATACACAGTTTCAGTGACAACAACACTTTGATATTCTACAGGTTTTGAAGTTATAACTAATGATGTCGGTGATGGTAAATCATTTAATTTTTTTGTTGATTGCCCTGAAATTATTTCTGAAGTCAAAGCAATTGTTTTAGTATCTGAAATATTACACTTTGCATTTAGCATAAGAGGAAATGCGCTAGAGGTTAAATTACCTTCCTGTTCATCAATGAATAATTCAGTGACATTGACAGAATTATCTAAAATTAGATTTATCGATGCAGTTATATTTGGTGTTTTATTAATAATTCTAAACTGACCTTCTTTTTCATTTACATCAACTTCTGTAGTATTAATGCTATCTAATAAAGAATATTCAGACTTTGCATAATTTTCATTCAGATGTGGTATATCCATTGAGCCAATTATTTCATATGTATTTTTTTCTAAATGTTCTGGTGCTCTAAGTATATCTTTGTTTAATATTTCATTCGCAATATATGTTTTTAATGGATAAATATTTAGGTTAATTTCTTTTTCATTAGTAGTTGTCGATACTATAATGATACTATTATTTTTCGTATAGTCCAATATAGCCTCTTTATCAATATGTTGATCTTTATGTATTAAAATATTTTCTTGTTCTAAAGGATTAATTTCAAAAACTTCCAAAGCTTTGCTGGGTTCTATAACTTCCTGCACATTTTTAGTATTAAAATTTAAATTCGGCATATTATGTTCTTGTATTGAACTTAATATTTCTTCAACCTGATAACTTTCATGATACGAAAATTTCTGTGTTGCATTATTGAAAATAGGAAAATGATCATTTGTAAATGGAAGTTCCTTTTCTAATGTAGAAATTTCAGTTATAGTACAACTCTTCGAATTTTCAATAATATGATACTGTGCTAATTTACTATCCACATTTTGATGGATAAAACTAGTTTCTGAGTCATGAAAAATAATTTCTGATGTTTCTAATCCATGTAATTCATCTGCTTGAACAATATGTGCAACTCTTTCGCCTATCAAATCAGTTGTGAGATCTTCAATTGGACTTTGGGGCAAAATTTCTGTTGTTTCAGCAATGATTATACTAGAAATTGATAGACTAGCGTTCTTTTTTCTCTTATTATCTTTTTCTATGGAAAATTCATTTTTTGTATCTAACTGTACAGGTTTAAATATAATTAAACTATTCCTTTCCTCGAAATTTACATCAACGCACTTTTGTAAAGGACAAACAGATGGAAAAAAATGACTTTCTTGTTCAAAAACAGAAACTTCTGATTGCTCAAATATGTTGTACGGTTTTTGTGACTTCAAAGCAGTTACTGTTTGTGGTTTAAGTGTTTCAAAATCATTAATGGATTCACACACGGTCGTTTCTGAAGTAATGTGAGACTCATCAAATATTATATTCTCACTATCTAACACACGAGTTTTATTTTTGTTTAATTCTAACAACGACTCTTTCTCGTGTGTTAATATTTCTAATACACTAATAGGGACATCCAATTCTGAATAAACCTCATCTGCTTCTTTTTTATCCGGTATAAGAGCATTCGTAAATGAATTTTCAGATTCAGCAGCAATTGTAATACTACTTTCTATACCACGTAGCGCTTCTTGTGTATAATGTCCCTTAACAGTAGTAGGTTTATCTTCTGTTACCGAAGCAACATTTTCACAAGTTGTTACTTCGTGCTCCTCCACAGTGTTCATAAGAACAAAATTTGGTCGAGCTTTTTCTTCAGTTGGTTTAATAATACCAGATAGTGTTTCCTCTCTATTATCGGGAATGATTTCAGATACTTCTATATATCGATCATCTAGAACAACACTAGAATCGAGAGAAAATGAAGATGGAAATTTAGGCGTTGTAAAAATGCTTTCTTTTTCAGCAACTGTAGTTTCATAAAATACAATGCTATCTAAAGTGCTTTGTTCATGGCGAGCTTGGAATTTCGGTACAGTTGGTAGTGAAAATTCCAAAAAGTTATCACAGGTAACGAGCTCAGAATTTTCTGTAGTTTGTAAAGATACAATTTCCGACTTAGCTATATCAGATTGTGGGATTTTCATCGTACTTGTAGAGTTTTCGCACTCTAATATAGATTGTTCTTCAACGTTAATTCCCTCTATTTCATTTATACTCATTTGTGCATTTCTTTGTGTTTTATTAGATTGCTCTAATAAATTGCTTTCAGATTCATTTACTGTGGTAATCTCCAATTGACAAGACTTAAATGGAACATGACCAACTTTCGCTACTTTACTTGTCTGTTTATCAACCTTCAAAATATCTACATCCTCGTTGGATATTATTTCCGCTGTTTCAGCGATATCATGACTACTGTACGAAGTGTTTGCTTGATAGCTTTTAGGAATTATCTCAGCAATTAGGTTTGATTCAACATCAAAAGCGCATACTTCCTTAATGATGAGTGAATTCCTATCGACAATATTAGTATTAGCAATTTCAGTTGTTTTAACTAAATTGTCATCAAGTTTTTCTATAGTACTCCCTGTGATAACTTCCTCTACAGTTATCGTCTGTAAAGTATGTGTAGGAGAAATTATAGATTTATGTGAATAAGGTAATAATTTCAATTTTAAAATCTCTTCTTGTTCGGCTATTACAGCTTCTTCTACGACAATACTTTTACTAGATTCGTAGTTGACTTCTGGTAAAATAGATGTAGGTTTTGCTAACTCTTCTAACGGTACGTTAGTATCGTGCACATTTATTTGAGTTATTTGCTTTGCTACGACTTCCTCAATAGTAGAAATCGCTTCTTCTGGTTTATACTTTAAGTTGGAAACAAGTTCAGACAGTAAATCATTTGTATTCACTTCAGTAACATGAAAAGATTGTTTTTCACTAAAATTATTTTCAGCTGATACTTTCTTGGTTGGTATTATAGTTAAATCAATTTCATTTTCAATGGAAATTACTTCAACAATATTTGGAACTTCTAATACTTGAATAGAAGTCTCCACTTTCTTATGTTCAGGTATTGGATTGATTATTAAATTACTTTCTAATTCATTAGTTTGAACAAATGATGACGTACAAACCTTTTTAGTACACTCGAATTGTGCAATACTGTTACACTTCTCGGGTACACGTGTAACGAAAGAATCTTCACTTTCATTGTGTTCAACTACATTAACTGTTAAACCACTTAGAGGTATAACACCATACTTAGCAGTTGATCTTTCCGACGTCCGTGCACTAGGTAATATCATATCATTTTCCTGTAAAACTATCTCACTTATTTGTAAACACTTTTCTGGAATAACAGAAAGGTCTGCGTTATACTCTTCAGGCACTTGCCGAGAATTTAAATTTTCTTCTTTTTCGGATGCTATAACATTAATATTTGCATAAGAATTTGCTAATTCAACAGAAAAAATAGCAACACTAGACGGAAGTTTTTGTGGTAAGATTAAATGACCAATTGTATCTAAGAGACATTTTTGTTCATTTAATAATCCTTCGTTGTTAATAACCGAGAGTTTTGCATTAGATGAAAAGGAATTATTAGTATCAAAGAGATTTTCTTCAACATCAAGGGTAGTAATTACAGATTGCTCAAATATGTTGTACGGTTTTTGTGACTTCAAAGCAGTTACTGTTTGTGGTTTAAGTGTTTCAAAATCATTAATGGATTCACACACGGTCGTTTCTGAAGTAATGTGAGACTCATCAAATATTATATTCTCACTATCTAACACACGAGTTTTATTTTTGTTTAATTCTAACAACGACTCTTTCTCGTGTGTTAATATTTCTAATACACTAATAGGGACATCCAATTCTGAATAAACCTCATCTGCTTCTTTTTTATCCGGTATAAGAGCATTCGTAAATGAATTTTCAGATTCAGCAGCAATTGTAATACTACTTTCTATACCACGTAGCGCTTCTTGTGTATAATGTCCCTTAACAGTAGTAGGTTTATCTTCTGTTACCGAAGCAACATTTTCACAAGTTGTTACTTCGTGCTCCTCCACAGTGTTCATAAGAACAAAATTTGGTCGAGCTTTTTCTTCAGTTGGTTTAATAATACCAGATAGTGTTTCCTCTCTATTATCGGGAATGATTTCAGATACTTCTATATATCGATCATCTAGAACAACACTAGAATCGAGAGAAAATGAAGATGGAAATTTAGGCGTTGTAAAAATGCTTTCTTTTTCAGCAACTGTAGTTTCATAAAATACAATGCTATCTAAAGTGCTTTGTTCATGGCGAGCTTGGAATTTCGGTACAGTTGGTAGTGAAAATTCCAAAAAGTTATCACAGGTAACGAGCTCAGAATTTTCTGTAGTTTGTAAAGATACAATTTCCGACTTAGCTATATCAGATTGTGGGATTTTCATCGTACTTGTAGAGTTTTCGCACTCTAATATAGATTGTTCTTCAACGTTAATTCCCTCTATTTCATTTATACTCATTTGTGCATTTCTTTGTGTTTTATTAGATTGCTCTAATAAATTGCTTTCAGATTCATTTACTGTGGTAATCTCCAATTGACAAGACTTAAATGGAACATGACCAACTTTCGCTACTTTACTTGTCTGTTTATCAACCTTCAAAATATCTACATCCTCGTTGGATATTATTTCCGCTGTTTCAGCGATATCATGACTACTGTACGAAGTGTTTGCTTGATAGCTTTTAGGAATTATCTCAGCAATTAGGTTTGATTCAACATCAAAAGCGCATACTTCCTTAATGATGAGTGAATTCCTATCGACAATATTAGTATTAGCAATTTCAGTTGTTTTAACTAAATTGTCATCAAGTTTTTCTATAGTACTCCCTGTGATAACTTCCTCTACAGTTATCGTCTGTAAAGTATGTGTAGGAGAAATTATAGATTTATGTGAATAAGGTAATAATTTCAATTTTAAAATCTCTTCTTGTTCGGCTATTACAGCTTCTTCTACGACAATACTTTTACTAGATTCGTAGTTGACTTCTGGTAAAATAGATGTAGGTTTTGCTAACTCTTCTAACGGTACGTTAGTATCGTGCACATTTATTTGAGTTATTTGCTTTGCTACGACTTCCTCAATAGTAGAAATCGCTTCTTCTGGTTTATACTTTAAGTTGGAAACAAGTTCAGACAGTAAATCATTTGTATTCACTTCAGTAACATGAAAAGATTGTTTTTCACTAAAATTATTTTCAGCTGATACTTTCTTGGTTGGTATTATAGTTAAATCAATTTCATTTTCAATGGAAATTACTTCAACAATATTTGGAACTTCTAATACTTGAATAGAAGTCTCCACTTTCTTATGTTCAGGTATTGGATTGATTATTAAATTACTTTCTAATTCATTAGTTTGAACAAATGATGACGTACAAACCTTTTTAGTACACTCGAATTGTGCAATACTGTTACACTTCTCGGGTACACGTGTAACGAAAGAATCTTCACTTTCATTGTGTTCAACTACATTAACTGTTAAACCACTTAGAGGTATAACACCATACTTAGCAGTTGATCTTTCCGACGTCCGTGCACTAGGTAATATCATATCATTTTCCTGTAAAACTATCTCACTTATTTGTAAACACTTTTCTGGAATAACAGAAAGGTCTGCGTTATACTCTTCAGGCACTTGCCGAGAATTTAAATTTTCTTCTTTTTCTGATGTTTCCATTTGGAATGTAGATAAGACATTATTTGAAAAAACTAATTGTTTTTCAGCAATTTCTGTTGGTACTATTAATTCAGGAATGTACATTTGTAGTTTAGATTCTGGATTAATTTCGGTTATACTTAATTGGTTATATATTGGTTTAAATTGAATAGATACCTTCTCGTTGAGCAATTCAACTGTTTGTAAATCGCTTTCAACGTGTCCTTCGTTGATTTCAAGAATAGATAAACATTCGTTTTCGATAATTTCTTTTGTAGCCTTTTTTTTATCTGGAATAGGTTTTATTTGATGTATTCCTTCTTTGTTTGTAGGTATTATTTCTGTGATAATTTTTGTTGTATGCGAAATTATTTCAAAGTTTGCTTTCTCATGTTGAGGTTTTACTTTATATGTATTTTCTGCAACAGTTTGATTGAATTGTACCTCATTAATGTCTATACTTAAATTTGGAATAATTTTGTGTTTAGCTACACATGATAATGTTTTATTATTCTTCAGTAATCCTACTAAAAACTGCGTATCAGGATATTCAATAGCAATACCTTCCTTAATTTTTATTGTTGATGAAGCTATACATTTTTTGTAATTTAAAGTGTCTTTTATGTATTCTTCTTTTTCTTCTCCTTGAATCATTATTTTTTCTACTGCATTGTGGGGAATTACAATTATTTTAGCTTCGACCACTTTTGGTTCGATATTATTAAATAATATAACTTCTTGTTTTTTTATAGCTTTATTAATAATTTTGGGAGTTTCAAGTATGACACTGTGCAGAACTGGGTACTTTTCTATGCACAATTTTTCAATAGCTTCGTCTGGAATTAACTCTTCATCAATAATTGACTCGTTTTCTTTAATATTTTTCGTTTTTTCTTTTTCGTATTCTATAGAGTTTTTTTTTTGAAGATTGTTAATTTTTTTACTTCTTCGTTGGCATTTATTATTTGATTCTTTCTCTTTAATAGTTATAATACTATGTTTTCGATTATTATTCTTTGTTTTGAAGTCACCATTGATATTTGTTATAATTATATCATTCTCTTCCGTTATTTGATGACTACCAACATTTTCTGCGGATAAATTAAATTTCCAAAATAAAGTAAATTATTTTGTTTCCATCGCAAGCATCACAGACACGGATAACACAGAAACAATAGAAAATATAAAAAAGTAATTAACAAGCATAATTAAAGAATATAGCCAACTAGTTGAATATGCTAGAAGAGATGGTATTATAATAATTATTATGATACCATATAATTATTAAGCAAATTGAGATTTTTATCTGATGTACCCTCTAAAAATTATTTTATTTGATAAGTTTAACAGACATATTACTTCATTGAAATAAATATATATATATTTATATATATATATAAAAGGTTTGGTTGTTAAAATCTGGCAATGAATATCATTATTGATATACTATTTAATATTTTTAATACTAAAACCGTAATATTAATTATTACAACATTTATTTTTTTTTTTTCTAATACAACCAAATTCGTCCTCCTCATGACAAAAGATATCAAGTGTTCTTTTAATAGTTCTGAGAAAAATCAGTTTTTGTATTTATGTTAACTTACAAAAATTAAGCTATATTATATAGCTATATCAAAATATATAAACTTAATGTTTCACAAACACTAAAAATAATTATATTATATTTTGGTTTATTCCATAAATTTGTTCATAAAAACTTAGTCAATAATTTGTTATTTTTTTAAATAATTTTAATTAAATAAAATGTTATATGTTAATATAATTATTTTATTGATTTTTGATACAGGTATCATGGTTATGCATGTTATCTCACTTAGTTATTTTTTACATTTGTACACTTTTGACATGACGACGACGACATATTAGTCCATTGTATATTATTTTTCAGACAAGGCGTTAAACTATCATTTGATATGGCGTTTAAAAGTCATTTCACAAATGAAAGGATTTTTTTTTATAAACTATTGTCATTTAAATTCTAACTAAATTGTTTAGTATATTCATTAAATATTACTCAAACACACTATGGGTACAACAGATTAGAATATTCATGCAAATTACGAAACAGAATTCAAGTTTAACATTATGAAATAAAATAACAAAATAGACTTAGATAGCAAAAAAATTGCATGATAATATAAACTTACCATATTAAAACATCACCAAAAAAGAAAGCTTTTACACAAATACACAACAATAGAAGCTATTTTTAAATAAAGAATTTTTTTTGAGACCACTAAAGCATTTTATAAAGTTATGCTAAGATTGAAAAATATATCACAAATAAATTAAATATTAATATTCTTAAATAAAATTCTATCAAATCAATGTATATCATAAAATGCTTACCAATGGATAATAGTTCTTCAGATATTTTTTTTATTGATTGGGTGTTATTTTTGACTTCTAAAACATATAAGCTTACGCTTTTATATTTTCATTTAAAAAAATTACTAATTTAGAGCCTTACCATGTACGTTTGTGATTTCACTATTCACAGTTTCTGTAATTGTGTCGTCTGTTGTGATCTCAGTAACGTAATTCAAATCTGATATAGACGTGTGAAAATCTTCTGGGCCCAAGTATGTGATGATTTCCTGTATAGTATTATGCTCAAGTTCTACCATTTTTAAGAATGCTACAAATACTTCATTAACTATGTTCGGTATAGAAGATTCCTTACTGAACACATCAGACACTAACGATGAATAACCTTCACGTTCAATTAAATTCATCATGGCAGTTTGAGCAGGTGCAGATTTTAAAGCCGGGAAATTACCTAAAGCATATTCTGTAATAACCTATAATAAAAATAAAACTCAAATTATATAATAAATTATTTAAATTATTAAAACTAATATTACTAATAATGTTTAAAAATTAAATGTAGTGAAAGCTATAGATCATCATATTATATTTGATCATCCTTTATTATTAAAGTGTTTTTAAGATACAGAACTCTATCCAAAATATGGTATTTAAACAATAAACACTAAATTATAACACATTTTAAATGGGATTTAGTTATAATGTACACATACAGTATTTTCTTTTATCAGATATAGAAAAAAAAAAGGTATATTCAAAAAATGTAATTTATAAAAAATATTTTTATAAATTATTTGATCAAAATTTCACAAACGCATTAGACACTTTTTTCTAAAAAGATTAAAAAATCTATTTCTAACTGTAATATCAATGAACAACTTAATAACACTGACATATTAATGAGGCATAATATTAAAACCAGGATCAAGGTGTAAGAAAAGCATTTATCCCTAGTAGAAAAATTAAAAAATGATTTTTGAGAAAAAAATAAAAAATATAACAAAAAAATGTACACTAAGGCAACATTAGTTTTAAATACTATCGTAATCCAGTGAATGGTCCTACGACAAAAAGTCAAGTTTATGACAAATTAAGATTCTATAGTTGAAACAACTTATTCATAAATAATATTAAATGTTATAAAATTAGAATTTTAACATAAAAATAAAAAAAAGTTTAAACTCTTGTTTCCTGAATATAATGTTTAAGATTTAATATATATATATATATTAATATTTCTTTATCGCGTACATTTTGTAAACAATCAACCGTATATTGGATACGCGTCAAACTAGATACGATTGTAATAATTTGATGTATCGTTAAAAAAGTAGGTCAAGTGAGAGTAGAGAAAATAAATGATAATCACAAAAAAATACCTTCTCAGCTTTGCATCGAAGCTAATATCTAAAATATAGTAAAATAATTTTAATATGAATAAGAAAGTTCTTCTCACGAGGGGCGACTACAATAATGGGATCCTTGATCTTTATTGAAATTATTGAATCTAAATGAGATAAAAATCAAATGAGTTGAAAATTTAATCGAACTTAAAAAGAATTAAGAAAAAAATGCAAAAAATTCCTTGTCATACGCGGGTTGGAACCTTGTACCCCACGTCAAGTTCCAATTTCAGTTATTTTTCTCAACTTAAAAAAAGTAAAAAAATTTAAGTAGGTTTAACTTTCTATGCTATATCAATTTGATTCATATAATATTTATGAAATTCAGTGTAATCCTCTTGTCAGGTATTTTATAGTAAAATAAAATACAAAACCCAGAATTTTAACACAAAAATATTATATTATTGAATATGGAAGCCATTATTACCATGAAGACAAGTCCAGAGGTCAATTTTTTTTTCAAATTAAAGTATATTGCATAAGCTTTAATTTAAGGTAAATATAAAAAAATATTAATATATATTAATAAATATATTTACGGAACATTTTCAAAAGTTAAATTGAAAAATTAAATTTTTTGTGAAAAAGTTGCTATTTTGAAACCCTTCCTAAGGGCTGGAAAAGAGTCAAATGTCCACAAAAATATATCAAATAATAGGTAAATATCTGTAGGGATTAACAAAGATGTTAAATAACATGATCCCAATGGATTGTAAACATAACGTTACACATCATATCATCACTAAAGGACCACCACTCTTCGCTAAACCAAGACGCCTTCCTCCGGATCGACTAGAGATCGCAAAAAAAGAATTTGCATATTTAGTGGAACAGGGCATATGCCGACCTTCAAATAGTCCGTGGGCCAGCCCATTACAACTAGTAAAAAAGAAGAACGGTGAATGGAGACCATGCGGCGACTACCGTAGGTTAAACGCAGTCACATTACCGGACAGATACCCCATTCCACACATTCAAGACATCACACAGCGATTGCAAAATAAAAGTATTTTTTCAAAAATCGATTTGGTTAAAGCTTTTAACCATATACCAATAGAACCGTCCGATATTCCAAAAACAGCTATTACAACACCTTTTGGGTTATTTGAGTTTGTTCGGATGGGATACGGTTTTAAAAATGCAGCTCAAACATTTCAGCGTTTCATACACGGTGTTTTAAAAGACTTAGATTTTTGTGAAGTGTATTTGGACGATATTTTAATTGCATCGTCTTCAACACAAGAGCATTTGAGTCACCTCGAACGTGTATTACAACGACTCAGTGAGTACGGCATTGTGATAAATACGAATAAATGTATATTTGGAAAAGAAGAGGTACTATTTTTAGGATACATCATATCGGGTAACGGTCTTAGACCAAATCCTGAAAAACTGGAAGCGATAGACAAATATCCACGGCCGAATAATGTACAAGAGCTTCGACGTTTTTTGGCTATGTGCAATTTTTACCGCCGTTGTATCCCAAACGCAGCAAGTACACAAGCTATTCTTCACGATTATCTTAAAAACAGCAAAAAAAACGACAAAACACCAATTGTATGGACCGATCAATCAACGGGAGCGTTCGAGAAAACTAAAGAAGACTTAAAGCGAGCCACAACATTATCGTATCTAGATCCGGCCGCGAATATTCAATTACGATGTGACGCGTCAGATATGGCGATAGGCGCAGTAATAGAACAATTTAAAAACGGCGTTTGGCAACCACTTGCTTTTTTCTCTCGCAAACTTGACCAAACACAAAAAAAATACTGTGCATACGATCGTGAACTTCTTGCGGTATATGAAGCCATTAAGCATTTTCGCTATATGCTGGAAGCCCGTGAATTTGAAATAATTACGGACCATAAGCCGTTAGTATACGCATTCACACAACACTCAGATAAATTACCACCTCGACGTGCACGACAACTTGATTTTATTAGTCAGTTTACAACATCAATACGGCACGTAACAGGTACACAGAATACAGTGGCCGATGCGTTATCGAGAATAGAAACTATAAATGCACCGCCACCGCTAGATTATGACAAGTTAGCTTACGACCAGTTAGCAGACGCAGAACTATTGTCGTTATTGTCAAAACCGGAATTATCGATAAAACTAGAGCTCGTAAATATGCCCACTACGAACACAAATATTTACTGCGATACTTCTAATGGTAGACAACGACCGTATCTTACCAAACAATTTCGCCGCAATGTGTTCAATTGTCTACATAATCTCGCTCACCCAGGTATACGGTCAACAATAAAATTAGTGAGTAGTCGTTTCGTGTGGCCGTCGATGAACAGTGATTGTGCGAAATGGACTCGTGCGTGTTTAGCGTGTCAAAAGTCAAAAATAACGCGACATGTTATAAGTCCGTGTGGTATTTTTAATGTGCCGAGTGATCGTTTTTCACATGTACACATCGATATAATCGGTCCTATGGTCATGTCACGTGGTTGTACTTACTGTTTAACCGCTATAGACAGATTTTCTAGATGGCCAGAAGTTTTTCCAATTCAGGATATTTCGGCTGAAACCATAGCTCGTACGTTATTTGAAGGCTGGATAGCTCGATATGGAGTTATGGAGAGATTGACAACAGATCAAGGACGGCAATTTGAGTCTACTCTGTTCACCGCAGTAACGCAAATTTTAGGGTTTAGAAGAATACGTACATCAGCATATCATCCACCAGCCAATGGTTTAGTTGAACGATTCCACCGATCACTTAAAACGGCAATAAAGTGTTACGAAACTGAGCACTGGACAGATGTACTCCCCTCAGTTCTTATGGGCCTTAGATCAGTGATTAAAGAAGATCTAGGTTTAACACCTGCAGAAATTGTATTTGGAAGTACGATTAGATTACCTAATGAGTTTTTTATGCAGTCATCAGTGGCGACAGACCCTTGTTCCTTTGCTGAAACACTAAAGAAAACAATGGAAACCATACGCCCAGTGTCAACTTCAAACCACGGAAGTAAAAAAGTTTTTATATATAAAGATCTAGCATCCTGTTCACACGTTTTCGTTCGGGTCGACCGGGTCAAGAAACCGCTAGAACAACCATATGAAGGGCCGTACAAAATTGTTCAACGATACGAAAAAACCTTTAAATTATTAATTAGGCAAAAAGAATGTATCATATCAATAGACAGACTGAAGCCATGTTTCAACGAAAATGAAGATAATAACACAAATCTATCAATAACAACGAACCAGCAAAACCAGAGAAATACAACTACAAGACCAACAATAATACAAACAAAACAAACCAAGTCAGGAAGAACCATCCGCCTCCCCGTAAGGTTTTTGTAAATTGTGAATTGTATCACTTTTATATTTGTATTTGTATTTTTATATTTGATATTTGTAACTATGTATGTTTAACGTAAAATTATCGTTTTCACTGGAAAGGGGGTAATGTAGGGATTAACAAAGATGTTAAATAACATGTCACAATGAATGCGTTTATATATGTTTATATGTTTTATCTTAGATGTACTGCAGTACGATAACACTCCGTGTATTTTTTTTATTCTCGCGCTGTTCGTCAATCCAGTGACACTTTTTTATTTTGTACTCTTTTTTTATGTATGTATAAAATCATTTTTCATTATTAAAAAGTATTAATTATTATAAATTTTAATTGTAGTATTTTGTAATAAATATAAACACCAAAACACTACATATCTATAATAAAAAAAATACACTGATTCGGTAATTTTTAAATAAATTATAACAGTTTTAAATAAAAAAAATTGAAAAAATGTCAAAAATTAGCGATTTTCAAAAATAAAAAAATTACAAATTTATTTTTTGGAAATTTCCCCCGTTTACAGTGAATAAGGGAATTTTTTTCAATTTTTGAGGGTAATGTCTTCGACTAGATACGATTAGTGATCTTTTAATTTATTGTTCATTAAAATCGGTTCAGTGAGAGTTGACATTGAGTGTTCAGTCACAAAAAAAAAAAAATGAATAAATAAAAAAAAACTGTAGTATTGTGGGATCACGGCACAGTGTGGACGTGGCATAGCTAGGACAAGTATACAAGATATCTGACAGTGATTAAAATCACAATCATAAGAAACGCTTCGATAAAAATCTGTAGATAGGGTTTAATTTTAGGAAAATGGTGAATGATTAAAAAATCAATATCAACTCCTATTAGCTTAATTATATACTGATTAGTGGTTCTTTACTTTAAAAGTATAATATATGAATAAATACCAATTATAGTAATTAAATTTAAATTGAAATTGATATTCACTAATTTAATATTGTAATTTATATTGAGAAATTATAAAAATAATAAAGTACTTGTAAAATTTTTTTGTTATTTATAAATAAATACTCTTGACTACAAGAAACTTACATCTAAAGCAAAAATATACATTTTTTTTTTCAACTTATTGCAATGTTTTCAAAACTGCAATTAGACTTTTTCTATCACTTCTAATTTTTTATATTATTACTAATTAGTAAAAAGTGAGTATTTCTATATTAAAAAAAAAAATTGTTTTCAAATTATTACTGGTTTTGATTTTTAATATGTTAATAATAATATAAATGACATATTTAACCTATTTTTTTAATCTTTTTAAGTTGATTTTTGTGAAAGTTTATAATAAAAAAAAGTTAAATTTGTTATCATAACATTTAGTTCAATTTGCAAGTTTAAATTTGACATCATTAAATAGAAAATTTTATAAGAATTAAAGAAATGTTATTGTTAAGATTAATTTGCAGTCAGGTAATTTTATAATTACTATTAACAGTAAATTTATCAGAAAAGCTCAAAAATTTTGTTTTAAGGACATGTCTTTTGGGTGAAAACGATTGCTTACGTCATAAACTATACTTATGTTTAGCAAAAATAGTCGATTTTATATTTTCAGTTTTTAAATTTTGATTGTTAAAAGTTTTTTCAAATCTAATCATGTTTTATAAAAAAATGGTAAATTTTGTGATATTATTTTTCTACTTAAATTAATTTTTACAAATAACCGGCACACACATTAACAATTATATAGTTTATCAATAAAGATTTATTTTTTGATTAACTATTTGATGTTATCTTCCATATTAAAAACGCAATAGTAATGTAAATCACTATCACATTTTAAGGTTCTAAACTTAGTTACGAGCAGCTTCATTGATTCATCGAGTGACGAGTAATTGAAGTTGCCATCTCTTTCTCAGGCGATGGATTTATTAACTGTCTCAAGATATATACAGTTAAGGGACATCCTAAGGGAATCCTATTTATCCTTCACGAACTGTAGAACTCAAAAAAAGATTTTAGAAAGATTGCCATATCTGTATATAGGCACTAATGATATCTTAGGGGATAAGTAGCCAAGACATCCTTATTTGCGCCTACGGTCTATACTATTTTATAGTAGAATGATAATATTATGTATACCTCTTCTGTAGAAATTCCATGATGAGTCAACACACTTATGGTAGCCAATTCACGAAGTGCCCATTCAGCAGGTCCAAAATCTGTTAACTCAATTTGATCTAGAACTTCTTCTACTTCTTGTACAACAGTAGGCGTTTTTTGTTTCAATGCTGTGAATAATGCTGGCTCTTTAGTTGATTTATCTTGTAAATATTGAGGCTCATGCATTTCGCGTATAGTTTCATCAGACACAGTTTCAGATGTAGATAACGATTGACGAGTGTCAATCATAATTTTTGCAGATTGTGTTTCAATAGGTATATGAGTCAAATCATCACCCTCGTTTTTACAAGTTGCTATTGCAGATACTAAAACAGTTTCCTGAACTAATAAAACTGGAGTTGCTTCAACCTGGGAAATTAAGTTTCATACAAAATATTATATAAGTATTAAGAATCAAAACTGGATAAGAAAAAAATCTTTAAATTTGTTAAGTTAATTTAATTTAAAATATAGTGTGTAAAGTTTATATATACTGAGTGATACATTGATTAAAATCCACTCAAATAGTCGCAAAATAAATATAAAATACAAAAAAAAGTATTTTATAGTTTAAATTTCTTGATTTATCAGTTGCTAATTACTTTTTAGCATATAACTTATAGAAGAGTCAACCTAATTTTTTTTAATGGCAATAAAAATATTTAACCAATTTATAAAACTTATATTTATTTATTTATTTATTTAAATTTATAAATTATTAACATTTTTATACATGGACTGGAAGATGAGTATACCCGAGAAATGTCTAACAATTTAAATAGTCATACCCATTCTTCTCATGTCTATATTCTAAAATTGTCATAACTTCTGAAATACTGGTAAAAATTTTTTTAAATATATATGTTGCTATTTAAAAAAAATAAAACCCTATAAATTATAAGAGATAATGTTAAAAAGTAATTAGTAACTGATAAATCCAGAATTAAATGTAACTAAAAACGTTTTATTTTATGTATTATATTTATTTTAAGATTAATTGAATGAGTTATTATAAACGATTAGCTTTGTATCATCATCATCTTCTTAGACTCTATTTGGAGGAAAACATAGCAAATTGACATAGTTTTATAACTTTTCTATTAAAAATATTTAAAATTGAGTTATAAAACTAAAACTTCCAAAAACTTCAAAATTTATAATATGGACTTTAGTATGATATATTTTGTCCAAATTGTTATTTAATTATATTTAATAAATATAAATAATTAGTAGAGGAAAATTTAATTTAATTAATTAATAAATTTAATATTTCTATGTAGTATTAATGTTAATCTATGGTTCTCAATTATTTAATACAATGAATATTATATTAAATAAAACTTTTGTAACCAAATTTTAATTTGGTAAAATACTACTTATAAAAATAATTTAATTGATAACTCAATCATTGAAAATAGAGTGATTTTAACCTTTCTTAAAAACATCAAAAAAACAATAATAATATATAAAAAAAATATTTTGAAAAACATATTCTTGTCAACGAATTGAACATAGGTATTATTATAAAGTTGAATAAGTTGAAATTCAGTAAATCTTAATAGCAAAAATTAAATTAATATATGTAAAAACTAATTTTACTACCTTTTGAATATTAGTCGATAACGGAACAGTTTGTTTCCATTTTGTTTCATCAAATGATCTATAAATAGAAAAAATATATATTTCCTTAATTATAATATTTAAAAAATTAGTAGTGAAATTAATCTGATTAAAAATTCTCATAACTATTGATTCTTGTTAACAATCTAATATTTAAAAAATATTTTTTACATTGTTCAACTGCATTTTAAATTTTGTCTATAGTTTAACTTTTTTTTTTCTAGTTTTCAAAATAGCCATTTCATACAATAAATTTTAAGAAAACTTATCTTAATTTTTCTTACTAACTATTGGAATAATAAATATTTTTCTCTATGAAAAATATCATTGCTTAAATAGCATTTGTAATTTAAATTATTACAAATTTTAACTACCTTTAAAAAGATGTAAAGTTCTAAAAATTATCAGTTTTTTTTATTACTTTATATATTAATTGTAGTTGTTTTCAAAAAGCTGATCTGTAAATTTGATAAATTAAGGGACAAGCAAAAAAAAAAAAAATTAATTTTTAAATCTATATTTTTTTTAAGTAAAAAAAAAAAAAATTAAGGGATAAAACTTCTTTTAATTATTTGTAAACTAAATAAAATATTCTTTGTTATATCACGCTTTTTGCAATAAGGCTGTATCTCGAAAACTGGCATTTTGATATAAACAGCTTTAAAGTTTAGTTTCCCATAAGAGTTACATTGTGTGTTACTTAAATGACAAGAGTTTCACTTCTATTATTGTGTGTTAAATATAAAATAATAAATTGTATTAAGTTACACGAAAATGACAAGTATTATGAATTTCGATATATGGTATCCTTTCAATCTTAGTGTGATATATTTCAGCCACAACCTTCAAAGAAACTCTTTTTTTTTTTTTAGCAATTTATCAACTTTAAAAAAAAGACATGGATGTGTAAAATATATAAAAAAAAAATACTGACTCTGTTTCTTTATGCAACTGTCTTTTTGTTGATTTTTTTTTGGTAATTTGTTTACTTTTCTTAACTTTTTCAATTTTTTCATCAACAGTTTCTTCCTTGATATCTGTATGTTGGTCTTCACCTGTTTTTAGAAGAAAGCAATTTTATTAACATATTTATTAAATAAATTGATTAATAAATACTTTTGACAAGTAGTTTCGCTCTTGTTTTAGCTTCTCCTAAATTACTATTTGCTTTGCATGTGTATGTACCTTCATCTTCTTTAGTTACTTTTCGAATATTTAATGTTGATTTAGTGTCAGTTATCTTTATTTGAACATTTGATGAATTTCTGATAATTTTATCATCTTTATACCAAATAACCACTAAATTAAATTTAAATTAAAAATTAAAATTAAGAATTATAAGTTATATTCAATTAAAAAAATGTTTTTACTTGGTGTTGGATTGCCTGAAAACTGAGCTTCAAATATAACCTTATCATTTTCGATTACACGCTCATCTTTTAATTCTTGGACAAAACTTGGACTGCTTTGGAATGCTAAAATTTAAGTTTTTATATTTGAGAACTTGTCTATTGTGATATAATATTAAACCAATATTTATTTATTATTAATTTTATTTATCGATAAAATTGGGGTTTTTTCTATTGTCACATTGAATTTTAATTTAATGAGTATATTCTAAGTATTAAATACTTTTGATAAAACAAATGGTGTTATTTTACTATATATTTTACTTTTAGCATTAAGAGTAACATTGTTAACTAATATCGTGTAACTTAAATATCAATAATATTTTCTTATTTTTAAAACATTTGTTTAAATAAATAAAGTAAAATTTAAATTTGAAAAATACACTCGATGTATTTTTAGTTAATATTATACCTAAATAAACCAATTTAAATTCTTACATTTAAATTTTTTATATAAAAACCAAAAATTATATATACCTGATAAGGAGGAATAGTTTTTCTATAACTCACACACAAACAAAACAAACACACATTTAATTAATTAACACAAAATATTATTCATAAAATATAAAAATAATACTTACATATAAAAAAATAGCTTTGCTTCAAAAAATAATAGTTAAATTTTTAATCAATATAAGCTTGATTTTTATAGATAATATGTTAAATTCACTCATATTTTTCATTTACACAAAGAGCAAATAAACATATTAAAAACACTATATACAAATTTAAAAATAAACTCTTAAAATGCTAATCGTAAAATGATTAAAATATTTCAGTGCTGTTAACTTGCACAACTTAGTCCAACTATTCTGTAAAAAAATGTGCATATATTTTGTTAACTTATAATGAAAAAACATTACAAAGAATTTTAAATAAATTACATTAAAAAAAAGTAAAATTGAAACAAATTTTAAGTGGTAAAAAATATTATGTATTATATTAGATAATGATAAAATGAAAATTTTCAGATTCTTTAATTAAAGTGTAATCACGACAGATTAATAACTATTACTAATTTGGTATGGCTTTCCCAAGTTATATAATATGACAGTTGTTAATTTCATAATTTTTTAGAATTTTTGCTGAAAGCAGCATGTAATCCAAATGATTGATCATCCGAGTCTATACATTGACTTTCCAATAACAAAAATTCTTGCAATTCTTCTTGACTATCAGCTGCATGAAATTGGAAAAACATATCAGGATCAATTTCACGAGGTTCCCATGGACATTCCATATAAGTTCTTTGATTATATTCAGCAATTCTTTCATCAGCATGAGTTCTTGGATATGTTTGACTCTTATAAGCTTCATTTTCTTTAAGAAAAAAGGAGGATAATTCTTGACATGATGAGGATCTTATTCGATCTGAACTACCATTAGATGAAGATGGCTCGCTATACTCTTGAATTGGACTTAAATATTCATCTTTTATAGCATAATCAGAAAAATACGTACCACAATTGGAGGATTCATTGAGAAAATTTGAACCATGCACATTACAACAAGCATCTATATTAAATTTCATATTACAATTACCTTGTAGTTGCTCTCTTAGTTCTTCCATATCAGTTACCCATGATGGTTTCCTATATTCTTTAGTACCTCTAATACCTAAAATTTATAAAAATGGATCATTTAAATAAGACGATAAAATAAAATGATGAAGAAATAGTTCTGCTGGTAATTTGTGTAGCTATCAGTGTAATAATATATATATCTGTATGTGGTTTTGGAAATGTATTGTGGAAAAAAGGAGATAAGCAAAGCAGATGTAACATGAATAAGCGCAAGCTGAAAATGAAAAATACCAGTATAACTGAAAAGTAAAAATAAATAAGTGAAAAGTAGTTTATTGAACATTAAATGCAAGTGATGATTTTAACATACTTTTAAATAAAATAGTTTTAGTGACTGCTACTCCATACTCATTAATCGCTTCACATATTATTTCTAAAGAGTTTTCTAATGGAGTTACTTTTATAGTTAATATCGAAATACCATCATCTAATTCTTCTATCTCAAACTCTTCATTAGGAACAATTAGCACTCCATTCTTATACCAACAAACATTAGGTTTAGGAGAGCCTCGAACTTTAATAATTAAATGTTTAGTGATGACTTCTTTTTCTTCTTCTTCCCATATGGTTTCAGTTTGTAACTTAGTTTCAAAATATGGCATGTTTCCAATGGTTTTTTTTGTTAATATGGTATCATCTATTACTTTTAAATAGTCATCTGAAAATTCGAATATATAAAAATGAACAATGCTCATACAAAATTAATCTACTTTTAATAACTATAAAATTTTTTTTGATAACCACCAATATAAAGTAATATTTTTTCAAAATTATCAGAAGAAAAAAACTACTTTACTAATAAAATTAAAAAAACGATAATTCATGATAAAATAATTTTACTTAAGCCTAATAAATAAATATTCATTTGTCTTAATTTCTACTTTGTGATGAAATCATTTACTCATATACTATAAACAATAGTTTACAATTCTTGTAAAATGTAACTGTCATAGAACTATAGTTTTAATTTTTAAATTATCTTGATCTAGTTAAACTATTTGAAACTCCATTTATTATCTAAAATTATATTAGCTTTGCATTATGTTACACCAAATTGATTAATTGCTTTTACTGCATATACATTCATATCAATTTCCATGGGCTGTAAAATGACTAGTTTAGATTCCCCAGTTTCAGGTATATATGTTATAAGATGACTTTCATCAGGAATAAATCAGAAATAAAACAAGATTTAAGATAATTTATTATTATAAAAAACTTATATAAACTTCATAAATACTTATGTTTAAATAAACCTATGCCTATTTGAAACATTTCAATAGTAAATTTTCAGTTAATTTGGAATATTAATTTATTTTATATACCTAAAATTAGATTTGCACGACATTGAGCTTTGCCAAAATCATTCACAGCAATTACAGTATAGCAAGCTTCATCGACATTAGTCACATTTGAAATAGTTAATGTGGATAAACCTGTTTCTACTATATGTTGTATTGTATGTGATTCGTCAGGAATTATTTCTTCATTTTCTCGGGACCAAGTAATTTTTGGAGTGGGTACTCCAGTGATTAAACAACGAAGCTCAGTTGTTTGATTTGGTTTAACCAAGGTTGGTTTTATTGTTTCGACAAAGCTAGGAGCAACTCCAAATACATCATCCTCTGAGAAATTAATTTTTATTAATTACACAAATTTATTTTGTTTAATAATAAATACTCACGTATGATTAAATTGGCTGTACACTGAGCTTTGCCAAATTTGTTGACCGCTTTTACAGTGTAGGTACTTTGATCAAGCACTGTGGTTTTGATAAAAATAAGTTTTGATTCACCAGTCTTTGGTATAAATGATATAATGTGTGAATTATCAGGTAAAATTTCTTCATTTTCTTTGTACCAAGTAATAATGGGTGTGGGAGTACCTCTAACTAAACAATTAAATTCAATTTCAGAACTTAATTTAGCAAATTTTGGCTTAATTGGTTTTACAAAATAGGGTGCTTCAAAATATTCATCTTTTTCTAAAATAAAAAAAATAATTTTAAATAAGACATTTACTATATGCTTTATCATATGTAATTACGAATAATTAGATTAGCACGGCATTGCGCCTGTCCATGTTTATTAACAGCATTCACAGTATAAATTGTTTCATCTACTTCAGTTGGATTTATTATAGTTAATACTGACATTCCTGAATCTATATCATATGTTATTAAATGACTTTCATCAGGATTGATTTCTTCATTTTCACGACACCAAATTACAAGCGGACTAGGTGTGCCTTTAACAATGCAAACAAGTTCGGTTACATCATTAGTTCTAGTGATTTTCGGTTTAACTGGTTGAACAAAAGTTGGTGCTTCTCCAAGTTCATCTTTTTCTAAACAAAAATAAAATAATTGAACATCATATTTTTATAAATAAATCAAATTATAAGATTAACATTACAATTTTGATTAATTTACTTACGAACTATTATATTTGCTCTACATTGAGCTTTACCAAATTTATTCACAGCATTAACAGTATATGTAGATTCATCAATATCTTCTAAGTGAAAAATTATAAGTTTTGATTCACCTGTCTCTGGTAAATAAGTTAACATATGGTTATCATCTGCAATAATTTCTTCTTCATCTCTACACCATGTTAAAGTTGGAATGGGTATACCCTTAACTAAACATGACAGTTCAGTAGTTTCATTTACTTTCACAATTTTTGGTTTTAAGCGTTCTACAAACTTTGGAGCTTCACCCACTTCAGCGTTTTCTAAAAAAAAAAAAATCTAATAAAATGCCACCATAAATCCAAAAAATTGATATAAAAAAAAAACCCAGCACAGTGGGGTCGCGGCATAGTGGGGATGTTGCATAGTTGGGTCCAGTATAGATTTAATCTGACAGTGATTAAAATCACTATCATAAGAAACGCTTCGATGCAAATCAGTAGATAGTGTTTAATTCTAAGAAATTGGTGGATAATTACAAAAGCTACATTATCTGCTAGTTTCTTATTAATACCCTGATTAAGATAAAGTATGTCGAATGAAAAAGGGATTATTAAAAAATATTATTTCTCATAAAAAAATTGTGTTGATTCGTACACTTTTCAATGAGTTATAGCATTATAAAGTTAAAAATGTAACCAACCCAACCCAACATCAACTCCTATTTCCTTAATTATATCCAGATTAGTAATTATTTTAATTATATATTATATAATTTTTATAATTAATTATTTTCAAATTATTATTGATTTTTAATATGTTAAAAGTAATCATTTTGAACCTACTTCTTTTTGTTCTTTAAAGTGAAAGTTTTAATAAAAAAAAAATGAATTTATTACCATAACTTTTAACTCAACTTGCAAGTTTGAAATAAATATTATTAAATAGAAAAAAATGAAATTGGTAGATTATTTCAAAAACAACAATAACACTTATTCCCTTAATTTTACCCCGATTTATAACTATAATATATGAATACATAATAATTACAGTAATTAAATTGAGTATGAAAGTGGTATTCAATAATATAATATTGTAATTTTTACGGAGATATTATAAAAATAAAAAGGAGTTGTATATTCATATACTTTTAATGCGTATACAAATTTAAAGGAATTTATGCAATACTTTTTAATAAAAAAATTTTGTTACTTATGAATAAATACACTAAACAAAAGGAACTTTCATCAGAAAAAAAATATACTTTTCTAAATAAACTTTTCGTGATGTTTTCAAATGTGCAATTAAACTTTTTCTATTACTTCTAAGTTTTAATATTATTACTTATTATTAAAAAATAAGTATTTACATATAAAAAAAAATAATTAAGAACAAAAAAAATTGTATTAAATTAATACTGATTTTGATTTTTAATATGTTAAAGGTAATCATTTTGAACCTATTTTTTATTGTCTTTTAAAGTGAAAGTTTTAATGAAAAATACCTTCTCAGCTTCGCATCGAAGCTAAAAAATGAATTTGTTACCATAACTTATAGTTCAACTTGCAAGTTTGAAATTGACATTATTAAATTGAAAAAAATGAAATTTTTAAGATTAATATGCAATCTGGAAATTTTATAATTACTAATTACAGTACATTTGTCAGAAAAATTCGATTTTTTTACATTTTTATCGTAATAGATAACTGAAATAGAAAGAATAGTAATCATATCCTAATAACTTTTGGTGTTTAAAAAAATTCTGCAATTGAAATATTCAGAACTTAATTAATTTTAATAATTTACTTTAATTAAATGAACCAATCAAACCAAAGTAGTTAAAAAGATTTACTCAATTGAGCATATTATCAAAAATATAATTATAATTGTAAAACTCCATCGTTAACTTCAGGTGAAACTAAAAATCATTTTTTTTTTAAATTTATGATTTATATAGCAAAATATTACTAAAAAATTTGGCATATTATAGACTGGTAGTAGCACACAGAAATAGAGTTAAAAAATTAATAAATTATAAAGTAAAATTATTTACTTTTGTAGTTGAATACTTTTATCATATCAAATTTAATTCGACAATAAATAATTTAAGAATATTAAAAATTAATGATTTTAATTGTTTGTATGGACAAATCTAGTTAAGCTACTTTTTATTTGAATAAGGAATATTTTTTTGATTTTTAAGAGTAATAACTTAAACTAATCATTAACTTAAATATCATAAACTTAAATGAATCATTTGACGTATCGTTGAAAAAAGTAGGTCTAGTGAGGGTTGGCAAAATAAATCGTAGCCAGAAAAAGAACCACATAGTAAAATAATATTAACATGAATATCAATTTCTTCTCACGAGGGGAGACTATAGTGATAAGATCCTTTATATTTATTGAAATTATTGAATCTAAATGAGATAAATATCAAATGATTTGAAAATTCTATTCTAACTCAAAAAAAAAATGCAAAATTTTAGAAGCCACAAACGGATTTGAACCTCGTACCCTAGGCGTTAAAGATCAAGGTGTTACCCATTCGGCAACTATTCGTTGATTTTTGTTGCATGATAAAATTGGCTATTTAAGCTAACTCAAATTTAAAAATTACTTTTTCGACTTTAAAAAAGTAAAAAATGTTAATAAGTATAATATCATATGTCTTATGAACTTTATTCTATGTCAATGAAATTATATAATATTCATGAAAGTCAGTTTATTCCCCTAATAAAATATTTTAAAATAAAATAAAATACAAAACCTAGAATTTTAATAAAAAATAGCATATTTTTAAATACGGTAGCCTTTTGCGCATAGAAGATAGGTCGTCGGGACAAATTTTTTTTTTTCATTTAGTAGTACATAAAATAAGCTTTAATTTGATATATGTTTAAAGGACGCAGTATTTCCGGAACATTTTCAAAAATTAAGTTGAAAAAGTTAGTTTTTGTAAAAAAGTTGCTATTTTAAATCCCCCCTGTGAGCAGAATAAGTGTTAGATTTTCAAAAAAAAATGATATCAAATGAAAGAAAATTACCTAAGGTTTCAATATAAAGAAATATTATTTTGATTAGTTAATATTTGAAAAAGTTATGGCAGTTTTAAGTACAAAAAACATCGTTATAAAAGGTGATTTTTATCGCAAATATTACATTTTTTTTATAATTTCGACAGCCATTTGCACATAGAAGATAAGGTGTCGGGACAAATTTTTTTTTTTCATTTTATAGTACATAAAAAAAGCTTTAATTTGATATATGTTTAAAGGACGCAGTATTTCCGGAACATTTTCAAAAGTTCAGTTGAAAAAGTTCTATTTTTTATACAATGTTTCAAAGTTTGAACCCCCCCTATATAAGGGGAAATTGTCTAATTTTAATAAAAAGTATGTCAAATGGAAGATGTACTTATAATGTATTTAGAAAAAAAAAAATTGTGCTGATACATGCATTTTTCGAAAAGTTATAGCATTTTTAAGTTGAAAATTAAAAATTGAAAATCGAAAATTTTAACACAAAAATAGTGTTTTTTTAACTACGGCAACCGTTTACATGCAGAAGATAAAGTGTCGGGACAAATTTTTTTTTTTCATTTTATAGTACATAAAATAAGCTTTAATTTGATATATGTTTAAAGGACGCAGTATTTCCGGAACATTTTCAAAAATTAAGTTGAAAAAGTTAGTTTTTGTAAAAAAGTTGCAATTTTAAATCCCCCCCCATGAGCAGGTTAAGTGTTAAATTTTCAAAAAAATTATATCAAATGAAAGGAAAATATCTAAGGTTTTAGTTTAAAAAAAAATTATGTTGATTTGTTGATTTTTGAAAAAGTTATGGAAGTTTTAAGAAAAAAAAGTGAAAAAAATGACAAAATTTGTCGATTTTTAAATTTGTAATTTTTTTGGATATTTCCCCCATTTGCGGGGAACGAGGGAAAATTTTTAAATTTTTAAGGGTAATGTCTTCAACTAGATACAATTTGTGATCTTTTGACGTATTGTTAAAAGAAATCGGTCCAGTGAGAGCTGAGAAAAAGTAGTGACAGAAAAAAAAAAAAAAAAAAAAAAAAAAATAAAAATAAAAATAAAAAAAAAAATAAACACATCATGGTAAAATTAATACCTTCTCAGCTTCGCATCGAAGCTAAAACACTCACCATATTTTATATTTGCTATACATTCAGCTTTTCCATGAATGTTATCTGCTTTTGCTTTGAAAATTCGCTGTTCAACTTTGGATGAATTAATGAAAGATAATACAGCTTCACCAGTTTTTGAATCATACATAGTACACATTTCTTCATCATCAGAAATGACTTCATCGTTTTCTCGACACCAAATGATATTTGGCGTAGGGTTTCCTTTGATAATACATCGTAACTCAACTGTTTCATTTGCTTTGACTTTCTTTGGTCGAACTGGCTCTTCAAAATATGGAGCTTCGCCTGTTTCTTCAGATTCTAAAATTAAATTATATTTAATTAAAATTACTGTGTAAAGCAATAAGTTTTAATAACACATAATGTTAAATCACACTATATTACAAAAGGTATTAAATAATAAAAATAATATATTATGTAAAATAAAATTTTTAAAATTAATCAAAACAAAAAATTATAGAAAAACATCAATGACGACACAAAAATCTGCATCACAAAATTTGCAAAAATTAGAATCAATAGAATAATACCTAACACTACAAGGAGTGCAGTACAAGTGGAAACTCCTGTAGAATTAATTGCTTGACAAACATATACTCCAGCCTGCTTTTCAGTAGGCTTAGAAATTCTGAGAGTAGATGTATTATCAAATACATTAATTTCAAAAACTTCATTAGCTTGAAGTTCTCTGTCATCTTTATACCATTTTACTTTAGGAACAGGAGAACCTCCCACAACACAAGAAAATTCTATAGGTTTTTCAAACTCAGCAACTATAGACTGAATTTTTTCAATAAAATGAGGTGCCTTATATTTCGGCGATATTTCATCATCAATTGTTGAGATTGTATCATTTTCAGGAAGTCCAACTGTTAACTCTTTTGGTTCATCAAAATTTTTTGGTTTGGTTTTTGGTATAGGTTTTAAAGTTATTTTTTCAGTTTGAGCTGGTTCAGGTAACCCCTGTTTATACTTTAAGTTGATATCTTCTTCCTTATCTTTAGTAACTGGTTTGGGTTTACCCAAAATTAATGGTCTTTCATCTGAAAGTACATCAGGTTTTTTATCTTTCTTTCGCTTATATTCAGGTTTAACTTCCTCTTTAAACGAAGAGGAATTATGTTTATCAGCGGGTAATGTATGGTGTTCCTCATTGAGACACTCTCCAGTTGGAATAACATCCAACGGCTTTAAATTTGAATCATAATTCTTCCCAGTATTAGTTTTCAGATGATCATCATCATGTAGTTTCGTCGATCTAATTGGTTTTTCATCAGAACATTCTGATGATTTTTTTGGTATTTCTTTCAATGATATTTTTTCTCTATTGTTATCTTCATGAGGAATTTTTCCTTTGCCTATTTTTATCTCCAATGGAACATCTTCTTCGGATTTAGTCTTATCCAAGAGAATTTTTTGGACTGGCTGAATTACTTGATGTTTTGGTTTATTTAATTTATCAAAAGGTTCTGATAGATATTTTTCTAATACTATGGGTTCTAACTCAGGTAATTTAAACCTCCTTGGTTTCGATTTTTTTATTTTTGTTGCTTCCATATAGTTCCTTGATAGGATTCCGTTGTCAACATAGACTGGTTCAAGAAAAATAAACTTTGCAAAATGTTCATGTTTATCAAAATCTATTCTTCTGATAAAAGATTTTAGCAGAACCTTAGGAACAGTAACTGAAGGGATGTCCTTTTTCGCTTTAGTTGGCGCTTTTTTTAATTGAATAGTTGCAAATAAAGGATTGTTCTCAAATACAACAGCAATTGGTTTTTTAGGTAATTGTTCAATAAGTTCAAGTTTTTCTAATAAAGGAATCTGTGTATCTGATTTTTCAATAGCCATAACTGATTGACTGTCATTAGTCTTTATGTCGTCACTAAGATTAATATTTTTTTTTTGCTTCTTTTTATTAGATTTATCGTTTGGTACATTAGTGCTTTCTTTGACAAATTTAAGATCCTTGACTTTTGGTTTTCTCCAAGGTAATGATAACTTTTCATGCATCAATTTGGATGGAATTTTCTGCTCAGTAATATTTTTTGGCCGTATAAATTGATCTTTTATATCATCATCAACGTCTAAAGCTGTATACATTTGATTACCGCTATCAATAATATCATCTTTGGGTTTTATTATTCCTTTTAATTTTTTTGAGGAAATTGATTGAGTCTTCCTTATCTCTTCATTTAAAATACAAACTTCATCATCAGGTGAAAATTCCTTTTCTTGGTTCATATCCTCGTTCAGCAAAACATGTTTTTTTAATTTGATCGATTTTTTAGGACTTTTAATTAATTTCTGATCACAAATAACACCATTACTGGACAAAATATCTTGATTCAAATTATCCTTACTCAACAAACGTATTTTAATAACAGAAAAGTCAGATTTTTCTTCTGAAGTCTCAGACGGAACATCACTTATCTCCTCCACTATAGGAGTTTTTTCATCAAGAATGATCTCTTCTGTGATATAGTCATCACCCTTTTTAACCACTCGAGTTTTCTTCACCTTTTTAACTCCCTTTTCATCGACAATAACAGTTTCTTGTTCAGTTATTTCGGGTTTTAAAGGAGTTTCGTCAGATGTTTTAGGTTTTGAAATCGGTTTCAGAGTCACTTCCTCAGGTTTCTCTTTTTGAATTGGTTTTTTCTCTGGCTTGACTTTTTTCAATTGCACAACTTCTTCAGTCCATGGTATTGAAGGCTTTCTATGGGGTTTTTCTTCTGAAGTCTCAGACGGAACATCACTTATCTCCTCCACTATAGGAGTTTTTTCATCAAGAATGATCTCTTCTGTGATATAGTCATCACCCTTTTTAACCACTCGAGTTTTCTTCACCTTTTTAACTCCCTTTTCATCGACAATAACAGTTTCTTGTTCAGTTATTTCGGGTTTTAAAGGAGTTTCGTCAGATGTTTTAGGTTTTGAAATCGGTTTCAGAGTCACTTCCTCAGGTTTCTCTTTTTGAATTGGTTTTTTCTCTGGCTTGACTTTTTTCAATTGCACAACTTCTTCAGTCCATGGTATTGAAGGCTTTCTATGGGGTTTTTCTTCTGAAGTCTCAGACGGAACATCACTTATCTCCTCCACTATAGGAGTTTTTTCATCAAGAATGATCTCTTCTGTGATATAGTCATCACCCTTTTTAACCACTCGAGTTTTCTTCACCTTTTTAACTCCCTTTTCATCGACAATAACAGTTTCTTGTTCAGTTATTTCGGGTTTTAAAGGAGTTTCGTCAGATGTTTTAGGTTTTGAAATCGGTTTCAGAGTCACTTCCTCAGGTTTCTCTTTTTGAATTGGTTTTTTCTCTGGCTTGACTTTTTTCAATTGCACAACTTCTTCAGTCCATGGTATTGAAGGCTTTCTATGGGGTTTTTCTTCTGAAGTCTCAGACGGAACATCACTTATCTCCTCCACTATAGGAGTTTTTTCATCAAGAATGATCTCTTCTGTGATATAGTCATCACCCTTTTTAACCACTCGAGTTTTCTTCACCTTTTTAACTCCCTTTTCATCGACAATAACAGTTTCTTGTTCAGTTATTTCGGGTTTTAAAGGAGTTTCGTCAGATGTTTTAGGTTTTGAAATCGGTTTCAGAGTCACTTCCTCAGGTTTCTCTTTTTGAATTGGTTTTTTCTCTGGCTTGACTTTTTTCAATTGCACAACTTCTTCAGTCCATGGTATTGAAGGCTTTCTATGGGGTTTTTCTTCTGAAGTCTCAGACGGAACATCACTTATCTCCTCCACTATAGGAGTTTTTTCATCAAGAATGATCTCTTCTGTGATATAGTCATCACCCTTTTTAACCACTCGAGTTTTCTTCACCTTTTTAACTCCCTTTTCATCGACAATAACAGTTTCTTGTTCAGTTATTTCGGGTTTTAAAGGAGTTTCGTCAGATGTTTTAGGTTTTGAAATCGGTTTCAGAGTCACTTCCTCAGGTTTCTCTTTTTGAATTGGTTTTTTCTCTGGCTTGACTTTTTTCAATTGCACAACTTCTTCAGTCCATGGTATTGAAGGCTTTCTATGGGGTTTTTCTACTGAAGTCTCAGACGGAACATCACTTATCTCCTCCACTATAGGAGTTTTTTCATCAAGAATGATCTCTTCTGTAATATAGTCATCACCCTTTTTAACCACTCGAGTATTCTTCACCTTTTTAATTCCCTTTTCATCGACAATAACAGTTTCTTGTTCAGTTATTTCGGGTTTTAAAGGAGTTTCGTCAGATGTTTTAGGTTTCGAAATCGATTTCAGAGTCACTTCCTCAGGTTTCTCTTTTTGGAGTGGTTTTTTCTCTGGCTTGACTTTTTTCAATTGCACAACTTCTTCAGTCCATGGTATTGAAGGCTTTCTATGGGGTTTTTCTTCTGAAGTCTCAGACGGAACATCACTTATCTCCTCCACTATAGGAGTTTTTTCATCAAGAATGATCTCTTCTGTGATATAGTCATCACCCTTTTTAACCACTCGAGTTTTCTGCACCTTTTTAACTCCCTTTTCATCGACAATAACAGTTTCTTGATCAGTAATTTCAGGTTTTAAAGGAGATTCGTCAACAATTATTTCGTCAAATTTTTTAGGTTTCGAAATCGGTTTCAGAGTCACTTCCTCAGGTTTCTCTTTTTGAATTGGTTTTTTCTCTGGCCTGACTTTTTTCAATTGCACAACTTCTTCAGTCCATGGTATAGACGACTGCCTCTGTGGCTTTTCGTAATTTTGTATTTTTAATTTTGGTTTATATTCATCGGGTACAATTTCATAGTTTGCGTTGTCCTGATTTTGAGAATCGTACAGCTTGTGTATTGTTATGTGGTTTTCGGTGTTGGGTTTATATGTTTTAATTTGTTTTTTAACATCACCAATGATACGTTTTGATACGGCTATGTTTAAATTATCTTTAGCTTTTTCCCATTGATGTTCTATAGTCCAATTTTTTGAAGTTTGATATGTGTCTTTTTGCATTGACCTTGTAAGTACTTTATTTAAAATATCTTTTGCTAACATTTTTTGATTTACATTTTGTTTGTAGAACTGTGATAATCGATGAGTCACTTCATCAACAATATCTATCTTTTCTCTTTCATTTAATATGTTTATATTATTTTTTGAAATTCTCTTTGTTAATACTTGATCAATGATGTGTTTTGCTGTTTCTGTGTCTCTTTGATGAATAGTTTTTTCAAGAACTTTAAATATCTGTTCAGTTGCGAGGCTATGAATAAGAGTTTCATTTTTGGTAATAGATGATTTTTTGAAATCACTTAATGTCATTATTGATGAAATTTCATTTCTTTCTAAATTATTTTTTTCTAATATACCTAAAGTAATTCTTTCTAATGTTATGTCTGATCTCCAAGGAGCTACACTTTCGTTTCCATTATCCTTTGTTTTTCTACCCTTTGATATTTTTAAATTTTTTTGAAAATCTACTGATTTATTATTTTGTGAAATTTTATTTATCAATGTTTTATCCACAACACCTTTATCATCAGATGTACCAATTTTAATTTCGGTTCCATTTAGTCCTGTAAAACATTTTTTAGACATTTTCTAAAATATTAATACTACTATAATGAAGTACGTGGATTACTACTTTTAAATTATAACGAATTATAACCATACGTAAAATTAACTTTATTTTAAGTTTCTATATATAACTAACAGTTATTTTTTTTTTTATCATCGTATAAAAACAATTATAAAATAGTTCAAAATACATATCAAACAATTATATTAATGTAAGACTAAAGGATTTTTTTATAATTCTCCCACATTTTGGTCAATAAACCACATAATTAATACATTTTATTGCAAAAAATTGTTATTGTGAAATAAATCTGCTTATTTGAATGTTTGTATTTGAAAATAAAGTAAATTGACGCCAATAAATATCATTTGTGTAGACAAATTAATGTGATTAGTATTAAATTTTATTTCACTATAATTCAGATTTAAAATATTAAGATTTTAAAATTTCATTGAATTGCTAAACTTAAAATATTTTTTAATATATCAGAGGTGCACTTTAAAGATACAATTTTAGACCCAATGTAATTGGAGAGCATAGATAAAATTTATAAATTTAATTTTGATAAATATTTATAAAACAATATTTTAAAAAATATATGTAATATACGTAATAATATATAGTATTATCATCGATTATATACTATTAAAAGGGGACTTATGAAGTATACTACCCTCCTTTTATTTCTAGCCTCTCTATTTCTCTTAAAATAATAATTATGTTAAGAAATTTGTTTTGGTGTTTATTAGTTTCATTATTTCTTGATTTATCAGTTATTAATTACTTTTTAACTCGTTCCTTACAACTTTTAAGAGTGTCAACTTCTTTTAAATGAAATGACTAAATGAAAACTACTTTTGACTCATTATTTTAAAATATTGACTGGAAATGAGGTTATAACGATTTTTTTATAAGACATATCTCGGGCACAATCTTCGTTTCGTCTATGTATAAAAATGTTAATAACCATCGAAGTAATAATCCAAATGTTATCGACCAGTCACTTTCTTTATTAGATCATTTCCTATTTTATTAGATATTAATAGTAATTAATATTTAATAAATTAAGAATTATGACACTAAAAAATATGAAAAATAATTTTGTTAACATAATTATTTTTTAAGAGAAATCGAGTGGCTAGTGTTAAAAAAATCACCCTCTATATCAAAATTTAATTAACTTTTACTCACTGTTGTAAATATTAAGTTTATTGTAAGAAAATGTAATCCCTTGCGTTTCAAATAATCGTTTTTACTGTACACAAAAAAAAATTGAAGAAATAATAAAATTAAGTTAGCTAGTTAAAAAAATAAAATTTTCTTACGTCTATGCAGGTTAATATTTTAGATGTTAATATATATTAAACATTTATTAATAATACATATAGCTACGCGCAACGAATAAGTCAGTAACTCAAAAAATCAATTATGAGGTATTTAAATTTAGGTTTTACTCTTCTTATAACTCTTACACTCAGTAATTCCAACAATAAAAAAAATCAATTTGCTTCTAGAAGGGCAATCAAATAGTTCGAGACAAACCAGATAAAACTTGCCACATTATAATCTCTATAGCTATCTTGAAAAGCTAATAAGTCAATTTTATTTTTTCAATAGGGTAAATAAAATTTAGTTCATTGTAAATTAATGTAATATTTTTTAATTTTAATTTCAAACCTTCGCGATAATATCCATCATAAATCATCAATAAATCTAAAATTGTAACAAGCTAATTTTTGGGAATAAACTTCAAAAGTTAAGTTACATAACTAAAATTTCTAACTTGTTAACAATTTCTTAATCAAAATTTTACATTATTGATATATTTTAAATAGATGAGGAACAATTTATTGTTAGTCACAGTTAACAGTATTTATTTTTTTTAACCTTGGTAAGAGCTAAAATGCATTAAATATTGATATACGCTTACGTTTGGCAGCGCTTTACATGTGAATTAATAGCATCGAGTGACCGTAAAAACTAGAGGGAGTAATTCAATATAAACATTAACGCTCAGTAGTACCATCTAAAACTTCAAGAGTGTAAGAACGATGAAACAAGATATAAACTCAACCATTTGAATGTGAGTATTTGTTGATTTTTATCATATTTACTGATACAAAATTTATCTCACAATATTATATTATAATGTTAAATATTAATGTGTTTTATACAAATATTACTTTTAATATAAATTTCATAAATAACTTAAATTATTTAAATTTAACATAGAAATAATTTTAAAGATAATAAATTTACGATAAAAATATATTTAAACTATAAAAAGAAAATAAATCATTATTTGACGAATAATTAAATTGTTCGTTTTATTTTATCACTTGTAAAAACAACAATAAATATTTAAATTTTAATCATTCCATTTTTGATAATATATGAATTTAAAACGTAATTAAACTAACAAAAAGCTAGTTTTTTTTCAATTAAAAGTTTCATAGTATTTTCATTATATAGCTAAATCATTGTATTAGTTATAGATCTTATTATTCATTTTAGTTTATAATTGCATGAAATCTTTAACTATCTATAAGCTTTTATTGGAAATTTGAAGGCCATATAACATGAGAAAGGAACTTATTCTAGCTATAATATAATATTATTCTTAGTCTATTATGGAATAGTTTGATTATACAACAATACTATGTCAAAAAAGAAACAGTTTTTTATATCAATACAAATATTTATATTCATTTAATATACAGCAATAATAAAAAAATAAGAATTTCCACAATTATTATTGCTTTTCAAGAGATACAAAAAATATTTTTTGTCTCTTATTAGAAAAATCTACTAAAACAGCTAAATTAATTTACCAATACTTCAATCAAATTTATTATTTATAATTTAATCATTTCAATTAATTTTAATAGTTCTGCGAGTATTTATTATACACAAAAAGATTCAAAAGAAAATAGATAAAAAATTTCGTAGTAAAACTTTATATGAACGCATAAAAATGAATATTGTTAAAACTGAGCACATAAATTACACGTTTAAAAAAATGCAATATAAATCATAAAAGAGTTATATGTTTGGTTAAATTAACCAAACAAACATTAATATATCACAATAATTTGGAAATTCTTAAAAAAGTTATTTTTATGTTTTTAATTTAAATTATTTTCACAACAAATTATATAAACATTTCATTAATTGTAAAAAAATAACTATTAAAGTAGAAATTTATATAAGTAATTATTTTTAGTTTAAAACATATTCGTAATTTAACAATATAAAATAGTTTCACAGCTGGTCATAGCTAATGTATTTAATATGAGAGTACAACAGCACTTTTTAAAATTCCTTTTGATTCCCTTTCTACTTTATTCAGTAAAAGCTCAAAATTGGTGAATAAAAATGCTTAAGCAATAATATAACACTAAGAATACGAGTATTATGAATAAAATAAAGCTCAAAAAAATATCAGCTAATTATTCTTCAATTGAATAATCGTATTAAAAAGTTCAAACTAAATTGCTAAATACTAAGTTTACCCACAGAAAATTATTCAAAATTTAATGAACCTCTTACTTAAAAAATTGCTATAATTTTTCATATTAATCATAATCTTTTAAAGAAATGGTAAATCTTTATTAGGTTTTCCATTAAAAAGTAAACTTTTGAGTACACATAAAATATAATTATTATTTTTTATTTGTTTCAGATATAATATTCAAAGTATTAAGACTCATGCATTCATCAATATAATTGAATTAAAAACAAAATTTGTTTTTATTTTTGAATAAATAAATTATTGCTCAAGTTTTTTTATAACTTTCTACAATCATATTAGGCAAATATAATTTGAATACTTTACACATTTTTGTATCACTTTAAGTAATCGATATTGAAATTGTCGATATATATCAAACTTTAAGTATTATTTCAAAATCTTCAATAGTTCATTAAATTATCAACATTTATATTCATTAAAATATTATTGTATCTATTACATTCTCAACATATGTCTGCAAAGATAAAATATTTTATGATACTTCTTAAGTAATTTTCTACATTCACGTGTGTTTCACATCTGTTCTATAGTTCACTAGGAATTCCATAAATAGTGTGTCACGGCGAGGGTGTGCGCACGTCCCGCCGTTGGCCACTAATCATTCGTCGCAGACTCCGGGAACCGCCACCATCGACGAAAAGTTCATAAATAGATCAGTTAAACAATATTTACTTATATCTTTACAGTCAGTTTTTTTCCTTATATAGATAATCAGCTACCTTCTATTTTCAAATCATATGCCTCGAGAAACGAATTGCAATCAGTTTTTTCTATAGGCATCAAATAGAAACGATTTTTCTATCATATTTATATTATCCAATTCATATTAATTTTGTTTTTTCAAACAGTTGAGTCAGAAAAATTACAACACTAGTAATGACGTAAGGGGTCTTGGTCTTTTATATTTATAAAACTACAGTAAAGCAAAAAGAATGTATGTAAAATAAAACGTTAAATAAATTAATTATTTTCAGGAAATTAATTTTAATGAAAGAGCGCTAAAATAATGTAATCTGGTGAATGAATATTGTTCCATTGACAATACAATTATTTTTTTAATGAAATTGATTAATTTTATACACGCCTCCATTTAGCTTTATCACAAAACTTTAATTTAACTAATATCATAATTTAAATATTTAAAAAGTTCTAATAAAATAATATAATAATAAATAGATAATTAATCGAAAATTATAAAAAAAAAATTAATTAAGTTACACTTAAAAAAATAAAAAAAAAATAGTTGATTAAGGTAAACCCCCAAAAAAAAAAAAAATTCTTTACTTGTGGTTAATTAATTTTATTTACTATACGATACATTATTGTTCACTTTCAATTTCAGTCAAATAAATACAGTAACAGTCAACCCTCAACACTAGATGAGATAGTATATCAAGTTTGTATAAAATTTAATCACTATAAGTTCTCTTCATTATTATTATTTTTTGTCTATATAAACCCTAGGCTTATGACGAATTAATATTATAAAAGTCAATCAATGAACCACCAATAAATTAAAAAAAAAGAACAATTTTTTAGTTTGTCACAAAGCCCAAGTAAACTAACTATTTTATGTCACTATTACGAACAAATTAAATTATAATAGGATGCATAAATTTTAAAATTTTGCATTGAATAGCCGTTTATTAAATACAATAGATGTTATTAATTGTTAATACAATTATTATTATAACAGTGTGTGATTATAACTATAATAATTACAATACAGTTTACCGTGTAATAAAACAACTTGAACATAAGGTTAAATTAAGACATATTGACAATAGTATTAAAAGTCATTAAAACTAGTTAAAACAATTAAAATAAAAGCACACGATTGTTAAAGTTTAATATTTATATGGTACTTTATAATAATTATTTAAAAGGCTAAGATATATTAGAGAGTATCGACGTGACTTTCAGATATTTTAAGATACATTAAGTACCTAATATCAGTGTGTATTTAATTAGTATTTAAGCGTCAACTCTTAAATGTACATAAAAGTGTATAAATAATACTTAAACAGTAACTCAAGGTAACATTTATAATGAAAGCAAGGGTAGCATGTACGTATGTGGCTTATTGACTCATACTAATACGGTATAAAATTTTCTATAAGTTAACACAATTTTAAAAATAAATTTACTAATCATAATTATTTCTTACTTTTCACGGTGAGGTTGGCTGACGTTTCTACTTGTCCACCACTATTTGTTGCTCGACATGTAAACATACCAGTATCTTCTTCATAAGTAAATTTTATTAATAGTGCAGCTAAATTTCCTTCATGAATCATCTGCAGAATAATTGAAAATTTAAAAATTATGTTTGAAAAAATCTTTTTTTAATTACGTAAATATATGAAAATGTCAAATAAATTTAAAAACCATATAAATAGAAATTCTTGGAAAACCAGAAATGCTCACTAAAATTAAATCAAAGAAATTAAGGACAAGCAAGACCGTGTTTAGAGTCAATATTAATCATCGAATATGTATATATACTATAATAATACTTAAGGTGACTTCATTAATAAATTAATACTTAAGAATTTTGAATCTTAAATATTACTTGGTTAATTAATTTTACCTTACAAGGGTGTCAACTTTATTTTTATAACGGCAACATACATGTATATTTAACTAACTTTTTATAATTGAAAAATATATTTTTAAGAAATGACAAAACAATATTTAAACAAGTATTTCAGAAGTTATTAACATTTTCAAGTACATACTGGAGGTGAGGAGTGGGTGCTGCTATTTTTAACACTAGACATTTCTCAGCCTTACTCCTGCTCTCTTCTAAGTATACAAATTTAACAAACTTTTGAAGTACTAATTCAATAGTTGTGATCGAACCGTTATTTTTTTAACTAGATAATTTTCTATCATTTAAGCTAGTTAAATAAAAATGTTGCCATTAAAAAAAATTAAGTTGACGCTCTTATAATGGAATAAGGTATCGTAGTATTTCTCATCGTACGTATCAAGTTGAAGCTATCATTGCCATAATCTTGAAAATTTTCCCTCAATCTTTGTAATATAGGAAAATGTCCCAGAAAATTACAATTTTCATAAAACAGTCAATGTTGATATTTTAAATTTTAAATCTATATTAAAATAACTTTTTGAAAACTGAATAGTTTATTTATAGATTTTTGTTAATAATATTTCAAATAATTACCTTACTAACAACTCATAAAGAGTATGAGGACTTAAAAATTATTCAAATCTTTTTCTTTACAATTTTTAATAAAGTTCCAAAAATCTACCTTCTTTAAACTAGGGTTGTTTAAAAACATAAAAAAAAAATTGTTTAAAACATAAGTAAACAGTTAAAAATGTCCCAAAACACTAATGTAAATTTTGAAAATATTGGTGTTGTAAACACGTTTAAAACGTAGCAACCCTGTTTTAAACCTACATTACATTTAAGCTATTACAATGTACTTTAAGATAAAAAAGAAAAACTCTCCGAGATCTCGATTTCTAGAAGTTATCGGTCATAAAAGCTAAAAATCATACAATTTTCTGTGAAAATGGCCGTTTTTGAAGTATTTTACAATATAACAAAAAAAAAATGATTGGAGCTTTTGAGAAATGTAGTTTGTCGATTTTTCGGGAAATTACATACAACCAGGAATATTACCAAAATATTTTCAGTTAATTTTCGGTTAACTACATTAACGGATATTTTATTAATAGTAGTGCCAACAATAGTGATTAATTACTAAAATTTGTTCTGTGTCTAAAATATTTGCCAAAAGTAACAAAATGTAATTTATTTATAAAATTTAATAGTTATAAAGTATTATTATTAATTTTTAATGTAAATCGTCAAATTTAAATTTATTAAAAATAGTTATTTTGGTCTTCGTAATTCTTTCAACACTGTAATAGATTTTCCAGCCTCGCACTGATTTTTTTTTTTTAAGAGTTAGCAAACTTTGACTATAGGCTTCTCTCAGTAAACACTAATTAAAGATGAGATATCTTATAGACAACTTTACAAGATATCTAATCTTTGATAAGACACAAAGATTATAATAGACATCTAGGAAAAGTCTATATAAGATCTATAGAATGTCTATAAATCACAAAATTGATCATAAACTATCAAATATGCAATCAAAAATAAATTAATTACACGAATATTTGATAAGATATCGACTCAAAAGGTAAGATGCTGTTACAAAATACAAGTGAAAATTATTAAATGTGTTTGTCCGAAATTAGCAGTAAATAAGAACAGCCAATTATCACGTCACTTAAATGACAAAAATCTTTAAAAAAAACTGAAAAATATATTGTGCTCTTTGGGTATATTTGTTAAGTTCATTTTTTTGTACAATATAATCATAATTAAGCACACCAAGAAATACCTAAATACTATGTTTTCTTAAAAATAACCCATTTTTTTGTGAGTTGAATATTTATTATGTATGAGTGATTGTTATTAAAACTGTTTACTTTGAAAAAATTCTAAATTTTAAGTGACCTAATTTATTTACAGAGTGTAATGTTAATATTTTAATGGTCGAAAATGTTAATTATCGTAGGATTTTAAGTAAAAATAATAGTATTTGTTATATAATTATAAAAAACTTTTATTCACACCTCCCCCACAAACAAAATTACTAGCCTATTTTTATGTCACCTTGAAATAACTAAGTATTCAAGGATAACTTTTGGTAAGCTACTGTAATGTTAGGATAAAAAACCCAGCACAGGGGTATTGCGGCACAGTGGTGACGTGACATAGTTGGATTAAGTATANAAAAAAACCCAGCACAGGGGGGTCGCGGCACAGTGGTGACGTGGCATAGTTGGATCAAGTATAATAATATCTGACAGTGATTAAAATCACTATAAAAAAAAAACGCTTCGATGCAAATCTTTAGATAGTGTTTAATTTTAAAAAATTGGTGGATTATTCCAAAAGCTACTCATCGTATATAGGGAAATGGTCTGATTTAAAAAAACAGTATGTCGAATGAAAGATGTATATAAATACTACTTCTCATGAAAAAATTGTATTGATCCATATATTTTTCAAAAAGTTATAGCATAATAAAGTTAAAAATTGAAAATACAAAATCGAAAATTTTCACACAAAAATAGCATTTGATAGCCATTTTCACCGTGAAGATAAGGTAAAGTCCGAAATTTTTTTTTTTCATGATAAAGTATATTACATTAGCTTTAATTTAAGATATATATATAAAAGTGTCAGACTTTCCAGAACATTTTCAAAATTTAAGTTAAATAAATTAACTTTTTGTGAAAAAGTTGTCATTTTAAATCCCCCCCTGTGTGCAGGTCATGGGTCATATATAAAAAAAATATATACCAAATGAAAAGTAATGATGTCATACATCTATAAAAAAAAAAATTATATTAATTTGGTTATTTTTGAAAAAGTTATGGCACTTTAAAGTAAAAAAATTGAAAAAATTTCGAAAATTAGCGATTTTTTAATTTGTAATTTTTTTGAAGGTTTCCCCCATTTACGGGGAACGAGGGAATTTTTTCAATTTTTGAGGGTAATGTCTTCGACTAGATACGATTTGTGATCTTTTGACGTATCGTTGAAAGAAATAAGTTCGGTGAGAGCTGAGAAAAAGTGGTAACAGACACAAAAAAAAA